CATGTGAATTCTGTTGTTCAGGATGTTAAGCCATGAGGGCATTTCTGCCATGATGTCATTTTAATGATTTCTTGTGAATATTCAGGGATGCAGATGTCTTGACAGTTTTTTTTGTGTGGAGGGAAATGGTTGAAGGTTCTAGGAGGAGGGCAGATGGTGGAAGAGTGCAGACTGGCAGCAGCAATGCAGTGATGTAGTCTAAATAATTGGAGCAGCGTCAGGAAGTTATTATGAGGAAATTTTGTTGCTCTCTTCCTGTTTTGACATCAGTGACATTGAGAACATTTGGAATGAGTTCAGTAACTGGGCACAGTATTTTATTTTCCCCTAGAAGACTAGTTCAAGAATCGCACAGAGCATGAAGGCTGGGGCCTGTAGAAACGATGTGAGGAATATCTGTTGGTGATTTTGAAGTAATAGGAAGTGTTGACTTAGAGCCGTCTCAGCTTCCACTTCTCTCCCAGGACCAGGCAGCAGCGTGGTCTCAGGGGCAGAATGCTCTGTTGTTTCTAGTGAGACGAACAGCATAGAAGCAGTGAGTATTGGGCTGGGTGATACATCTCACTACTTATTTTTTTTAGTTCAGGCTCAATGTGTCTAAAGCAAACAGTATCAAAGACCGCCAAGTTATAGAACCTGGTACTCAAAATGTTTCATTCAGAGTACTAGAACTGGGCTTGCATTTAAATAAAATACAATATTTCATAACTTTTTGGTAGCTTTTGTTAAGCTACACATTGGGTTGTTTGGACTATGGTCATGTATCTCTACATAACGTATCAAAAAATACTGTTTTGCAGTGAATGGTTTACTGTGGTGGTGTGTCACCGATGACAGATTAGACAGCCGGCAAATACATTGTATATGAAATAGATTAGAAAATTATTACAAACTATTTTGATCATCAGTTGTTTAGTTGCATTTTAATCAAATTCTCCTTCCTAGTGGCCCTAGCTCTGCTTTTCTCTTGGGAGATGATACCCAGCCTTATTGAGTTGAAGTCAGTGAGTGAGTGGCCTCACCACATAGCTCATAGCGCCAAGGAGGGATAATAGCAAAGCAACAATAATGTAGAGATGCAGGTTGTAAAATTAGCATTTGTTGGTCTTCTGACGGCTGCTGGAGTACTTTAGTCTGCTGTAAAGGAGGAGAGCACTGTGACAGTAGTGTTTCAGGGTTATGACCTGGCCTGTGGATGTCAGACTGAAGTGCTAGCAGATTTCAAGAGGTTAAGAGGAGGCAAGCTGTGTAGAAACACACACAGCGCTGTCCTAGATTCCTCCTGCAGTGGTTTGAGTCTGCAGTGTGTTGATGTCTGAGCCAGTCTGTGTAGCATCATGACAGGAGCAGAAATGTTTTGTGTTAGAAATGTGATAAGGACTCTGTATACTTGCGTCATTGCTTCAATTTTTGCATGTGTCACTAACAGCAGTCTACCAAACAGGCGTCTCGAGCTCAAATCCTAGACAAAGCCACAGAGTACATCCAGTACATGAGGCGAAAAAACCACACACACCAGCAGGACATCGACGACCTGAAGAGGCAGAACGCATTACTGGAGCAACAAGGTAACAATACCACTGTCAGGTTGGTATTCAGGCTGCTGGGGAAACTGGACTTGAGATCGAGACTGAGCGTTAGTTTGGATCAGTTGCGTGGTTTAGTCATGTTTTCCTGCTGTTAACTGCTTCAACTCCAACAGATAAGTTTGACTTGAACAAATAGAGAGAGGAGAGCATGACAGACAGGTGAAATGATAAACGCTTCTCTACCACGTTTGATCACATCACTACAATATAAAAACCTGGAATCTGTAAAAAAAAAACAAATACGGTAAGAAATGTTAGCGTTACATATTAGAGATGTTTAGTTTTACGTATTTCTTTTGTGTCCTCTCTGCTCTGTGTAAACACAGGCTGCAGTTCAGCTCTGAATTTTTGTCACGTCGCTGCTGGTCACAGCTGAGTCACCGATGATTTGTGCTTCGCACAGGATCTGGCACAGACTGTTTAATTTTAGCAAATTTATAAGTGAGATAAGTGATTTTGATGAAATATCACTTTTCCACATATCTTTGGTTATTTCCCCTAAAGGAATGTTTCGTCACAGATCAGCAGATTCAGAACTCTGAAAGTTGAACTTGTGACCACAGTTTGTGGCTCTGATAAAAGGTGTCATTTTTGACATTATTTTAAAGATAAGATGTCTTTGGAGCCTGCTGGTGGGTTCTGGACTGCAGCGAGTTAACAGCACTTGTCGTGTCTTCCATCGCTCTGTTTACTTATCTCGTTTCTTCTGTCCGTGTTCATTCAGTCCGTGCTCTGGAGAAGGTGAAGGGCTCTGCCCAACTCCAGGCCAGCTACTCGTCGTCTGACAGCAGCCTGTACACCAACCCCAAAGGCAGCGCCGTGTCGGCGTTCGATGGAGGCTCTGACTCGAGCTCCGAGTCAGAGGCAGAGGAGCCGCCCAACAGGAAGAAGCTGCGTGTGGAGGCCAGTTAGACGGCCGAGCGGCTAAAACCTGGCTACGACCGAGGCGGCGGGGCACAAGGGAGGGTGAGAGGAAACGCAGCCTTCAAAGCTCTCGAGGCTTATCAACCCCTCCTCCCTCATGCCAACAACACCCCCAGTCTCCCTCACCGTCCTCGTCATTCTCTCTCCTCCATCTCTGGGTGGGCTCGCACTGGAGACTCATGACCCCTCAAATCTCCTCACACCGCCACCACCACCGTCTGTCCAGCCAGCCCCCATCAGCAGAAGAGAGGAAGCAAGCAGGGTGGAAGACTGCTTCAGTCCATCGAGAGAGCTTCAGGTTTTTCCCCCTTTCCCCATCCCCCTTTCTTGATTCATTTTTGGTTTTCCGTCATTGGTATCCCCCTAGCAACATCAACAATCCAAAACCCAAAAAGAGGCAGCTTGGCTACTTAAGGACTTGATGCTTTTTTTGTACCCTCAATAAAGCCTCTCCTCCTTCCCAGGTTGTTTTTTTGGGGAGGAAGGGTGAGCCAGGTGTACTCTTCCAAGCACTGCTATATTATATATTTTTTGTTTATTTTGTTATTCTTGATAAAAAAAAAATAAAAAAAACCTGTTTAGAATTTACACACACACACACCTAGATAAATTGTCCTGGAAAAGTTTACCTTTTTAAAATACAAAAAGAAAACATTTGTAGCTTACTTTTTTTCCACTAAAGAATGTGAAGATGCTTTGAGCAAAGTGATACCCACCTCAGGCCCACTGGATTGCAGATGTTTTCTGCCTGACACGTTTGTTAACACAAGATTAAAAAAAGAAAAGAAAACTCCTTTGTTGAAATTGATGTTTTTGAAGGAGAATATTCCTAAACTTGTATCGTATTTTGTCCTTTAGCTTGAAGTAGTGAATGACTTTAGGTGGCTGAATACGTTAGGCATCTCGTTTTATATATTATAAAAAAAAAAGCATTGATTGGATGTTTTCAAGTTCAAAAGTATGTTATGCATTTTGTAGTAACCACACAAGTCATGGGAAAATACCAATTTGTCACTTGTAGTTTTCTTTAAGGGTATGAAATAGATATTGAATGTCAAAAGGTAGCTCCCGTCTTTTGCAGTAAAAGGAAGCAAAATCAGTCCCTGTCAATGTGTTGTGCTTTACACAGTTAAAATCAATGTTGCTGAATCCCCCCCAAGGAAAAAAAGAAACCATTTTGCGTGTCTAGGAAATGTGTGTGTATGTATATTGTTTCCATTTTATTTCCATTTAGGAGGATATAATTAGTGTAGTAGGTCTTTGTTTGTCCGATTCCATTCCATGGAAATTACAAGTATGTTGTACATACTGCCAACAATTGTCTTGCAAGTTGAGGCCTACCTTTACTATGAGACTATAAAATAAACTATTTTATCCTTTAACACGCTCCCTGTGGTTACTGAGCTGTTACAGTAAGGAGTGCAGAAGTATCAGCCTTTTCAGGAGCGTTTCTGAAAAGCGTCTGCTGTGAGTTTAACGATGGGGTTCAGAGCAGCTTCAAGGACTGTGTGCTGGTGTGGACGACTCAAACATCATTTCAGGTTTTTCTGGTTTACAGCGATTGCTGGCAGGTGTCTAGTATAAAGACTGTCTGCTTATGTAATAATTCTCCCCTTACATGACGACAGTACTTTTTCAACCATGTGGTCAGGAGGGTAAACTGGGCCAGCTCACGTTGAGCAGCAGCCGACGTAGAGCAGCACACTGGCGTCTCTTATTTGAAGGATGGACTTGTTTTTCACCTTCGTTTTCAGGCAGAGCCGGCGATCTGAGAAATATCTCCACACCCCAAAGCACCAAAACCCAACCATCTAAAATGTTTGAATTAGTTGTGTATTATATTTATTTACACAGTTGGCCTGTCCAATTATTTCAACTGTTCAAAGAAATTCCTCTGGAAATCAGCAGCTCATTAAAAAGTAAAAATTATGTTTTTAGAATCAATCATTCGGCAAATCTGTCAAACATTTGAGCTTCTAAAATTGGAGTACTTGCTTATTTTGCTTAGGAAGTTGAAAAGAAGACATTTTATGGACCAAAGTAAATAAATCAAGAGAATAAATTCTCTGATTCAAGTAACTGTCTCACAGCTGTGACTCCACTCTCCCTGTAACTGGTACAAGATACAAACTTTCTTCCAAAAAAATTAACATTTTTTTCCTTAACATAAACAAATTCCTGTTCGAGACGTACTGAATCATCTTTTGTTGTCCTATAAGTCTAATTGGCACTATAGAGTATAAAAAATATACATTATAAACATAGACTTGCCAAGGATGCTACAACCTCAGAACAATACAGAGAACCTAAACTCCAAGTCCTCAAACCTACTAAGTGCAACTTATATTTATCTACATACTAGTGTATAGTCAGCCACGAGGCTCATACTGCTCAACTGTTGTACCTGCTGTTTCTTAAGGATTTATCTGAAGTGTGTCTGAGGAGCCATACCAGTCATTTAGAACTCAAAAGCATTTTATGACACCGTTATGAGAAGAGCTATATAAAGTTTTATTACTGTGGGTCATACTGAAACCTTAGAAATTTCCACTTTTATTTCAGAGGTTACAAACAATAGCAAGCAAAAATTCAGCCGAATGTGAAGCTGCCCACACATAACTGTTGACCTTTACTCAAGCAAACTCCTCCTAAACTCCAGCCCCCGTCTCCGCCGAGGGTCCACCGTCCTGCCGCTTCTTGGGCTTGTCCACATCAGACCTGACCGCCGTTTTCTGGCTCGAGTCCGATCCCCAGAGTCGGACGATTCACACACAGTGACACGTCGCTGAGGGCTAACTAGGACTGAAAGGGAGCTGATGTAGAGGCAGCGGTGGGCTCGGCCAGCCTGTCAGCAGCCGCCCCTGGCTGCCTGTTGTCGTCGGGCACGGGCAGCTGAAGGAAGTGCTGCACGGCCTGAGCCACCTTCTCTGGACAAATGTTGTAAACCGGATGAGTTGGAGCCTAAAAGTTAGAGCAAAACAAGGCGTTTGTTGTACCACAGTATTTCATTTAAGACCTTACGTTTACTCTTTTATATCCTCATATATATAGCAGCAGTGGCCCAGTTTCTGACATGGTGTGGGTGTAATGATAGTTTCACTATGACTTATACGGTGTCTTAACATTTAAATTACAGTAAACCAAAGAGACTTTTTATTGATTTAGAGAACTGGCTGCTGTGGTATATATGGTATTTTCAATCGAAATGAAACAATATTTCTGATTTTAAAAAACCCAAAACATCTTAGACGCTTGCCTTCACCTGACTGTGTCTCATTTTGAAGACATGGTAAAACTAACCCACTGTGGGGACCCTGTTTGAACCGTGCTGCTGTTTGAATGCACAGCCTGATGAGCATGTGCAGGCCCAGGGTGCAGACTTACTGTAACCTGCTGTGCGTGTCAGTAATGCAGCCGGAAACAGGAAAACAAAACCAAAAACAACTGCTGATGCCACTCATGCCTTAATGTGGAACCACATACCATTTATCTTATTTCAGTTGCTTCACTTTTCTACTCCACCCATCATCAAGCATCTGTCACTGTTCCTCATTTTAGATTTTATTCATATAATGCCAGACTGCACTGACTAAATGAGTGCATTTAAAACAAATAAAGAACAGTTTCATCCTTCATTCACTGTCATTGCAGGTGTTCCACTAAATGCTTTCTGCTCCCTGATAAAAAAGAAAAAATTAAAAAAAAAGTCACTGGTTTAATAATTCACTTGAAATGAAATTTAAAAGATAAAAGAAGCACTTAATGAGGCTTACGGCCTTCAACTAATTTGATTGTAAAACTGTCATTCTTTATTTGAAGGACCTGCAGATACACAAGTCTTGAGTCACTGCTGCAGACTCGGCCAATAAATTAGCGAAAAAGGTTACATCATGTTGTTTGTCATGTTTTTCCTCATCGTGGGCTCATTTTTTACTGCAATATAAAGTTCTGCACCTCTGTGGAAACGGCATGGCCACGGCTAGAAATAAGTCACCAATGTCTTCTGTGCAGTATGACACGATGACCACACCATAAATAGAAAACAAAATCAATAAAATGGAATTTCTTAAAATTATTTGTCACAAAAATGGGGGAAAAAAAACCCTAAAATCAACATGGACAACATTTTTTCAGGTGCCCACAGGTTTTACCAAAAGCGGATAACAGGAGGCTCTACACAGTTGAGATATTTTACATTTTAACCACCTCTACATACTCTGTTTTTCACTCTGCACATCAAGTCTAGAAAGATAGCTCACCGCGCTGAACAACTTACTGACACCCTTCTTCTATATACGCCTTTTTACGCCATGCTGCATTTGTTCTTTTATTGATTTGTTTTTCTATCAGCCTCTCTCGTTGTCTCCTCTTTGCTCTGCGAGAACACAGCCTGACGAGTCCATGAGTTTTTGTCACATGACTGTCAGTAAAGGATTCTCAGTTAGACTAAGAAGGGCGGAATCTTTTTTTAAAGATGTTTTCCATGCTGTTACTACAGAGACAGCTGCAGAGTGGCAGTAGAGAGGGCGGGACAACTGCAGTCTTGGTTCGTGCTCTGCCAGGTGAGCTACTGGGGCGCCTGTACATTTTTTTAATGAAATATTAAGATTTTTAAGCAGATATTTGTACTGATAAAACTATATATCACACATTGTTAGTTCAAGGGACTGACAGTTTCTGACTCTGATAAATGGTGTCGTTTTGGTCGTTTTTGAAAGGAAACATATCTTTACCCAGATTATCCAACATGTGCTTCACCTGACAAGCTACAAACCAAGTTATCTGCAAGCAAATACTGATAACAAAAATCTATAGCAAAAAAAAAGAAAGAAAAGAATAAACTGTGAATTTGTCGATGGCTTGTTTATACTTGCTTACATATTATGCGCAATCAGCATTGTTAGACCTGTGACGTACCAGCTGGCCTCTATTTTCTCATCAAACTCAGTTTAAGTTATTAGCAGCTGCCGAGGTCTCCACTCTGTTTTCCTCTACTGCAATGACTCTATTCCCAAAGGTAAAGTCTCCATTTCTGAATTAATCCACCATTTTTGCTCCACTCCTCCCTCCCTGTCCCTGCTGCATCCTCACCAATCTGTTCTCCTCCCTGCCGAGGATCATCTCATGGTGGAGGTCCATGTTTCCAAAGTGCTGTGCTATGGAGAGGCCGCTCAGGCAGTAACACGTGTGGTAGAAGTCTCTGGATCTGGACACGTGAAGACATCGTACAGGACAGTGATGCATGCGTGACATGTAAGAAAACAACAATATGAATCCTATTCGATTGTGTAGCGTGTGTCACGTGTGCTGCTGCCAGCCTTCGTGTGTGTGTGAGCAGATGGTGTGGTACTGACTTGCCAGGCTTATCCAAAAGGCCTCCTGTTGGGTTCTGACAGCACAGGAGGATGTACTCCTGCAAGGCCTGTTGCTCAAACATCCACCGCTGCCGACTCAGCTCCGACTCTCCTGCACAGACACAGTCCAGCCACAACGCAAACATCAACAAACACATTTTATCATTCATTATTTTATTTCCTTTTGTCTCAAAAAGCAAAGACTTTAAAAAAAAAAAAAAAAAAAGACACATTAGGCGGATGTATCAGTGGTTATTTTTTAGTTTTGAGAAGGTAAAAAAAATGTATGAAAATAATGAAAAAGTAAAAATGAAGATAGGAATGTTAGTAATTGAACACTGTGAACCTTAAAACCTGCTGGCACATATGAAAGGAAACAATAAAAATTCAAAATGACCATTTATCAGTACCAGAAGGTGTGAAAAACAAAAAAGGGTTTTCAATTTCCAACACTTTCAACTTCTGGTTCTGTCAAAAAGTAAACAAATATAAGCTTAAAATTGAGATATTTCATTAAAACCCCTTTTACACTTTTACATGTCTCATTTTAAAATTCCCCCAAAAAGCTTTGCAAATGATTCTATGCATATATATATAAATAAAAATCTGAGCTCCTCTGCTCCACTGAGAAGCCATGACTCACTCAGCTATGACCAACAGTCACATGACAGTCTTCTGGTGAACTACAGGCTGTGTTCACACAGAGCAGAGAGGAGGTAACTGTATGCTGAATCAAGTTTTTCCCATTTGCGAAATAGTCCAAGAAATCTAACTTTCATTTATTCTGATGACTTCTAGCCATGGTGGTTGTGTTTCCACAGAGGGGCAGGACTTTATATTGGAGTGAAAAATGACCCACAGTGAGTAAAAATGGGGACAGCAGCAAAAATTCCAGAAACGGTTTGGAGTTCAGACGGTTAAATTGTTATTCCCTACATGTTAGTGTGAAAAGTGAAATCATACTGAGTTGACTCTGAAGTAAGAAAGCAGCACTGACCTGCGTTCTAACAAGGTGTGATGATAGCATTCACTTGGCCGGGACACACCAACTTTTTTCTTTTTATGAGCAAAAGCGCTGTGAGGTAAAATGAACAGGTACCTTCTTTGAATAAGGCTCTGTGTAGTAGAGGCAAGAGTCCAGCTTGCCAGAAAGAGTAGCAGCCGTCCACAAGTTTATTACAGCGGCCTTGGAAACCTCCCTCGAATCGCATCTGTCTGCTGACCACCCACCGCTGAGGAGGACAGGACACAAACATGCATTAAATACAATTTTTAAAAAACAAAACACATCACGTCAACACTTTGACCAAGTCTAACTGTGTTCTGCTGCACTGCAGCAGCAGAGAAATGAGTTCAAGCTGAAACCCCACAGGGTCACACAGGACCAGAGGCAGAGCCGCCACAAAAAGGATAAAGAAAAGCAATGTCTATTATGTTCAAAATGGGAAGGAATTTACAGTATATTGTTGCCATGGAAACTGCTAATTGGCACAGATTCAGTCTGCTCAGCTTGGATTGAGTAATTATGGGATATTGGGGGTAACACTGCTGTTCTAGTCTGCCTAAAGAAGAGGGAGGAGGGATGCTTAGCCTACGACTTCAAGGATTCATTTCAGTCACTAAAGAAGGAAAATGTTTAGCAAAGAAATAAGACGTGGAGGAGGAAGAGGAGGTCCAGTGTAGCTGCAGCGCTGTGCTTCTTTATTCCTTCAAACTATGCCAGCTTCAGCAGAGGGTACATACATCGAATGTACAACTATGAAACACGTGATGTTTCTAGAATCACCCTGGCTTTTACACATTCTGCACACAGAGCAAGCAGACGCAGACAGATGGGTATTTACTGGTACCATGGCAGCATTCTGAAATTCAAGGTTTTTTAAAAATTATTTTGGACCTTTTTCTTTCTTTATTGTACAGACAGTTGGAGAGGCACAGGCAAGACGAGGGGTAGAAAGTGGGAGTGACATGTAGCCAGCCCACAACCCTGTGGTGGAGACATCTAGCCCCAGTGCAGCAGCACCGCTCAGCAAGGGGAGCTATCTGAGCGCCTCTATTCACGGACTTAACAAAATGGAACGCTTGTTTCCTCACGAAGTCATCTAAAAAGGCCTTTTGCATGATCATAAACGCTTCATGCATGCTGAGCTTTGTTCAGTTTAAACAGTGTGTACGTGGGTGGTACGTGTCATCCATGTGAATGTCAAGCAGAACTTGGCGCTGTAACAAGATCTTCAGTGCTATTCACTTCACCTGTGACTGGTTTTCTTGCTGTGGCTCATCAGTGTACATTACTGTCCTCCAATAACACCCGCTCACCAAATGAAGTAGCTGGCACTCATACATGTTGCTAATTAGTGGCAGTTGCAAAATTTGCATTTTCTTACTTTACACTATTATTCTTCATTTGAGCAATTTGAACAAGCAGGTGTGTTTTGTTTACTTAGATGTTCTCACAGATTTGCATTTGCTGCACAAATTACCCAACCAGAAAACTGCTCATCAAGACAGTGTTAATATTTCCCCATGAAAATGGAGCTTTGGTAATACTAGGCTACAAAAAAAAAAACAAACAAAAAAAAAAACATACAATGAGGCCACATACATCTGAGAGCTGCCGTCTATCTTTTTACTGGGTTACTGATTAATTCATTCTCTCAAAGAAACTGGGACTGTTTTTGATGCAGTGACTCATCCCACATTACTTGATAAAAGACAACTTTATGAAAGCCATTTTTGTTCACACCCACTCCTGTACTGCAGCGAATTACAGCAAAATTGCTGTCAAAAATATTTATATAACTGGGTACTCAGGAACTTGAAATGTGTATCATTATTGAGCTACTGTTTAGTTCTGTTTTCAAGCACGTCTACACATAAATGCGTATTTTCATTGCTTCGTATTCTGTTAATTATCTTGTTGATCAACTGTTCAATTTTTAAGTGAAACATTGCTTTTTTTCCCGCTGCCCAACATTACAAAACCTGAACCTGTTGGTCTTATGATGACATGAAACAGAGAAATGCTCAGCACTGTTGAGCATTACTGCCGTCGGTGTCAGTTGCTGACATAAACTGAAGTGTGCAGAGGAGACAGAGCAGGTGAGTCACACTGCTGTAGATATTCTCGACCTGGTGTCATCTTACAACCTTAACTGAACCACAGAGGAACATCTCTGCTCCAGCTGGAGACATGTGCTGGGTGTCTCTGTGGGGTGACCAGCGACACCAGACACTTCAGAGGTTGAGCTCAGCTGACCTGTGACTTTGCCTGGGTGATCAGTGAAAGTTACTACGGGGCTGTAGTTGTTTGAGGAAGGAGGGACAGGACATGAGCAGCCAGGCGGAGAACAGGTTTTCTGATCAGTCACATGCAAATTGAACTTAAACCACACAGTATTTGAATGGGAGCTGCAGGATGGTGACAGTATGACGGCAGCTGCTGAGAGAGCACTTTAGAAGCTTGATATTTTGACATACTGACTCTGAACACAAGCTGTGTTCAATAAGATGTAAAACAGGCTGCAGGCTGGCCTACTGCTGACACACTTCTCCCTCTGTCTTTTCCAGATGACCTGAAGCTTCGTGTCAGCAAACACCCATGCTGGTGCAGAATCCCTGAGCAGGACTCACAGTTCTACTCATACCAAAGCTCCAGGGCTGTGGTTCTGACCCCCTTCTTCTCTAGAAGCATGAAAATGACAAGTGAATTTCCCTGCAGGGGTCAACAAAGTATTCCGATAGTGCAGCAGAAGCAGCTGTAGGAAAATGGATGTGAACCTTGTCCTCCAAAATGCCAAGAGCCAGGTACAAAATGGAATAAATTCAGGATAGGACTTCAAGCTCTTAAAATCCTACAGGGAAACTCATCTCAGGGACAGGAAAAAAAAAAAACAGTTCATCTAAAATAAGCACAAATAGCTGTAATATCTCCCAGCAGTTTTTTATGTAATGAATCTGGTTCTGGGTCATAACCTTTTATTTTTATTTTACCACAGCTGTAAGTTTCTGATTGGCCGCTTACAGCACTGAGCAGCCTCTTATAAAATACTTGAGCACAAAGGCTCTGTTGTGAATGATATTGATTGCATCTTTTTTTGGTTGTTGGGACGGGGGGGGTTATTATGGGATGGGAGGGTGGGTTTGCTCACCAGCAAGGCTTTGAGATCCAGCATGTGTTCTTTGCCCAGGATGACGAGGGCGGCTGTGCCACAGAAAGTGTAACCACCATGTGCCTCCAAACCCGGTACTCCACTCAGACCTCCCTCCCAGTTCTGACACCTAGAGACCCAGGAAGCAGTCACATACACATGCAATGCCAGCACCCACTGCACTACGGAGAAACAAGACGGCTGTGGTGGTCTGTTGTACCTGAGGATCCAGTTGGTCGTGTCCTCAAACAGCTTAGATGTGAGGATGTTTGTGAGCGATGCTACAGACGCTGCACAATATGCACTCCTGTAAAAGGAAAACACAGGCTCAACAACAAGAGATGTGGCTGAGCAGGAAGTCTGCTTCTGCTACACTTAAACATTATCTTCCAAATGGTTGTAATTGTCGACTGCCAGCAGACCAAACATCCACATCCATGTTGCTTTCTATGTCTAAGTCATATTGGCTTGTTTGTTTGAAACCCTGAGACTTAGTAACTTTTCATGAATTCAAGGATAAGGATAAGGTTAATTTATATCTATTATAAACGAAGCACTTGAACAGACCTGAGGGGTGAACTACGAAGCAAGTTCGATCAGGCCAGGCTCGACAAAACCTAAAACTCCAAGCACAGATAATTGGGATGATGATGATGGTGCTTATTAACCTTTCTTTTTTTAAAACCAGGCTTTCTTCCTCCGACTCTGTACGTGCTCCTGTAAAAGGGGGTGACTCTTTTTCCACACAAAATGGACCGATGGCGTACTGCCTACTTCAGTCACAAGGAAGACGCTGGAATAATGTAGAGCTGGAAGAAAATAATAAAAATGCTCTCTGGCAAAAAAGTGCTGATGCTGCAAATGATGGCAGAGAGGAATGCTGATGGTAAATGAATATATTTGTTTTACAACTCAGTGGAGTCAGCAGCAGCTTATTTCTTATGTGACAGCTGCACATTAGAGCTTGAAATCTTTAAATGTCATACATTTAAATATGACACTTGTAAGTGCATTTAGGTCCAGCAGTGTCAAACTGACTGGGCAGCGAAGTCAGAACAAAGCGTAAAAACCACTTTTGTTCATGGCATTGTTAACACAGAGCTCAACAGGTGTGCAGATACAACACAACCCCTCAGCTGAGATGAACTACTTACAGAGAATAGAGTAAAGCAGTGGTGAAAGTCTGAGCTTCATATATCCCATTTAAATCCCAAACTCTAAACAGAACGTGATCTAGCAGGTCAGTGTCACTTTCACAACATTAAAAACTCTGGATTTAGGTTCAAAATACCTCACTAACCCAATAATATCACTTCGTAGTACACCCCTCTGGTGTGGCATTACAGTGACTATGTCCACTATAGTTTATCATTTTCGACTCGTGGATGTCTCTGATCATGCTCTGTGATGTCTACCTGACATGGAGATACTAAAACAGTCACGCAGGGGTGGGAAATAAATTACAAGCTACTCCATGAGAATAAACCCCATTGTTTATTTTGGTTTTGTTGCTTATAATAAAAATAATGTGTTATCCTTTGCGGAAATTAAAAATGGCAGCGTCTCCAATGACTTAGATAACATACCTAGATGCATGACGATAGTTTACATTATATTATAACACTATAACACTGCGATAGTTTTGATATTTATTTTATTCACTTTTGTACATGCAGTTGTCATGGTCCTCCTTAGTTTCTTATTAATTTGCTCCAAATGGAGTGAAAACATGTTGTTTTGTAGCCTTATTTATTTTGTACAGTTTTGTACACGCAGTGGTCATGGTCCAGTTACTATGCATGGTTATATGCTCTGAAATACACGTTACACAGGAAAATATATTGAATTCTGAATTCTTAAAAAAACTGGGTCGTGACTTAATGACCATGGGAAAATGTGGGTCCCAGGGTGAGACCAGTTGAGAACCCCTGCTCTAAAGCCCACTGGAGCAGCTCAGAAATGAAACAAGCCTCCTTTTCTTAGTTCGTTAAAAGCTGACACTCTGGAGAAACACGGTTTTCACAGGACAGGAACTGATAAGAAAAACCATGGGAGAGAAAGAGTTTAACTAATACATAATGACAGCTCGACACTAATTGGTTGGCAACAGATAACAGGCTCCTCGGAGAGTGGAAAAGTAACTTTGACTTGTGACGTTCTTTGTTGAAATAGAAGACAGAAGCTCAAAGCTGCTTATTAAGAAAAAAAACCCACAGCCACATATAGTAGATTCAAAAAGAGAAACAAACACAGGCCCACTGAAACTCAAACAACAGAAATCCGCTCTTATGCAACAAAGATGTGGGTATTTCTCCTCTTTTCTATCAACGGCAAAGAGGAACAGAAGAGCATAAAAAATGAAAAGGGATAAAGGACAAAAAGGGGGTTGAGTCTCAAAAATGTCGTCTTACTTGGTAAGAATACTAATATAATTTGGCTGTAATATACACAATAATGAATAACAATATGGGGGTGTTTATTGTGACTGTGCTGTAGGTTTTTTTATTTTGGTGGGTCTTTCTGTGTGGCGCTAATAAAGGGAATTCTAAACCTGCAGGAGAAAAAAAAGACATGAGAGAACACAGAGAGTGGAGGAGGCAGCTTTATCTTCTCTCACCTGACATCCACCTCCCCTCCAACGTGCATCACAAAGGAGCCATCTGGCTGCTTCACTGACCATAGGAAATCTAACAGCTTCTCCCTGGAGAAGGTTAGCACAGGGGGAGGGAGAGAGAGAGGGAGGGAGAGGGAGGGAGGGGTTGATTAGAGACAGGAGGAGGAGATGCAGAACAGGATGAAACGAAGAGAAGGAGGATAGAGGGAAGAACAAAAATGCAGAGAAGAAAGGTAAAGAGGTGGAATGTGAAGCAGTGTGACTGCTGCAAATTTAATAAAGCACTAATGCAAAGTCAACACCTGCTGTCTAAATATGCTTCAGTGCCGTGACACAAGAACCCCAAGCCCACTGTAAACAAGAGCAACGCCACCTTGTTTCAGGAAAATGAAAAAAAAATCACGGAAACATTATTTCTGAATGCTCATACAATTAGCGACTGTTTAAACAACATTAAAATGATGCTGTATGTCTGTTATGTTTCCTTACAACTACAAGAACATTGCGGTTATTACGATGATGGCGGCTGTGGCTCAGGTGGTAGAGCGGGTTGTCCTCCATTTGCAAGGTTGGTGGTTGGATCCCCCGCCCCTCCACAGTCGAAGTGTCCTTGGGCAAGACACTGAACCTGAAGTTGCTCCCAATGGCAGGCAGCACCTTGCATGGTGTATGAATGTGTGTGTGAATGAGAAACACATTGTAAAGCGCTTTGGGTAAGAGTGCTATATAAGTGCGGACCATGTGGCATTGTACCTTTTGGGTATTTAAAAAAGAAAAAACAGAGCAACACAGCTAAAAAAAAAAAAAAAAGTCTCAACAATGCAAACATGTCTGCAGAAATGTGGCTCTGTCATCGAAAACAAAGATGGACATATGAAGTTGTGAAAGGTGTACTGACTTCTGTCCCTGCTGTGGTGCCTGTATTTCTAGTAAATCTTATCTGTACCCCAACATACTTTAGCATGACAGAATGCTGACTGGGGCATTTAATTTTTTTTTTGTTTAAGACTTACAATACGGAAAACTGACTGCTTTTTAAAAAAAAAATATTTTTAAATCCAAAGTATTTCTGTGAACTACATTCCTGCAACATCAAAGCTGTAGTTTGGATTTTTCTAAAGAATGAAATATTTCATGAGCCAGAAATGACAGAAAATGTCAGTAAGTTATGCACACATCTGGCCTTTTATTGACAAAACTGTATTTTTTTGCTTACATGCCTGATGCTTGAAAGTATTTGACCTAATTTTTAGATGTCTTAGCCGAATCTAACTAAATAGGAAAGATTGTGCAGACAAGACAATCACCTGAATCCGTAAGTCTGCTTTAACTGAAAATTTTCTGTGTTAGTCAGTGTCAAATTGTACCACTTTGCTATTATTTGGTGGAACAGTGAGGTTAGTGTGGCTGTGTGATCATGACTGTACCGGTCTATGACATTATAGGCCTCCTCTGTGCCAATGATGCAGAGGGCGTTGACAGCAGCGTAGGTGGGAGCGAGGTGGGCGTGTTGCCCTGGTCCCCCAGCGAAACCCCCTGTTGGGCTTTGACAGCGAGCAAGAAACTGACACACACTGGAGAGAAGAAAAAATATATGTTTGAATTCATTTTAAAAAACAGAATAATGAGCAGCTGAATGGTGCTATACTAACACTGAGATGTTAAAACAAAAGTGCTAAAACATGAGAATGTTTGTTTGGTAGGTGTGAGGAAATGAGCCTAATCTGGAAAACAGACTTTCAACAACACCAGAGGAATCTATACATTATAATTTATAGTATTATTTTATATAGGTAAGGTATACCAGAGGCCATGTGGTTCCAATTTTGGAAAATCTGTTCAGGATGAATATAATGAAAACTTTTACAGTACAGCTTCTGCAGCATGCTACAGTAGATAACACCTAAATGATACAGGACTCTGCATAGATTTATGGTCATTGTGAATTTTGATGCACAATTGTTGTAGTTTATATGAAAAAGTTAATAAATTAATAAAACCCAAATTCCCCTACCTTTATATCCAAAGACAACTTGCTTATCAAGTCCAACATTTTTGCATCAGATTGTTGCTTATGTTTAAGGAATCCTCTCTTACTTTCACTAACTCCTACTGAAGCTGCTCAGTTTCTAACAGAGGTCACACTGGACACATTCCAGTGTGACCTCTGTCTGTAAAGCCAAATGAAAACAGTGCAATATTGGAGAAAACTGACGTTGCAATAATTTGTTTTTCTGTAATATATATTGTGATATGAAATTGTCAACAGATAACCTAAATAACTCTACAAAGAATTGATTATCTAGAAAAAATGGGGTGATATTTGGGGGGAGTGCATCTACCTTAAACACAGCAAAAAAACAAAAAAAGTCTAAAACCTTCCCTATATGGAGTGACACTGGCAAAGGCATCTAAAATAGATTTTTGCTTTGGATGACATTCAGATTTGGCTTTGCACTAGAAATACAGAGCTTTGTGCTGCTAATTTAAAAGATCAAACAGCTGATGCTTCTTTCTGCACCCAAATCTTCCATTTCAGTGCTTCTCACTGTTTCTCACTGTTTTTGCTGTGCACATGTAGAGCCTGCATGTCAAAAAAAAAATCTACAAGCTTCTTTTGTCGATTAGTCATGGAAAATGACAACTGTGCAAGTTTTCTTTTAGTATCAAACAGCAAGAAACCTACTGCATCATATGTTTAGGCTCATTTACCTTATTTTACATCACAATTCCTCTGATGGGACTACTATGCACGCACACATCACAATGCTGAATATAATGTAGAGTCATATTCAAAAATGTCCCACATGAACAACTAATTTTGTCTTAACATTCAAGAACAAATGCAAACAAGCATGCGAGCGAAGTTTTCTTGCACATACACACTGTTTGAATCTACTGCAGTATCAGAGCTCTAACTCTGCTTCTCAGGCCTGCACAAACTTGGTGCACCACTTAGTTATTTTGCTTTAGCTGACGTGTCACAGAACCCAGGCCATCTCAACCACAGTTTCCTTTCTTCCCAGCCTCCGTGCACCAAGCTGCTGCGCTCACAAATGTCCTTTTCATCCTCCGTCATGGAGAGAAATCACAAAACTGTAAGGATGCCTTGAGCCAACTGAGTTGGAAGGGAAGCCTACATTAACTTTGGCCAACCAGCGCGGTGCCAATACTGACCTGAGAACAGTGTGCACTTCATGGCACAGAGAAAGCAATCTGTTGTAGGTTGCATTGTTATAAATCCTTGAACGGGTCCAGTGTGTTTGTGTGTCTAAGCACGAAGGCGTCACGTTGGCGCTGGGCAGTGCCAGCCGGTGTGCTGGCACGCTGCACAGTAATAATGAGAGAGTGGGTTGGGAGCCTGGCATCGCTACTGGCTACGTGGTTAGCAGAGTGTTACTTTCGACTGGCAGTAATTTAATCAAATTACATTTTGGTGGCAATAACAGCAACACTGTCTGAAGTCATGGCTGCATGAACATGTGTAAAAATACACCTGCCCACTCTGCTAATTTATTTTAATGCCAATTATCAGTTATGATCATTTCAAGAAAAAACGGTATCTCACTGCTGCTAACATCAACACCATGGCTACTGTGAGGTCCATTGCAGAGGTAGAATAAGCTGATGCAGCCACAAACGGAAACAACGAGGGCGACAAATGATTTAACAATAAAGCCGGAATCGATGTTGTAGCTGGATTGGAAGAGTAAGCAATATCTTCAGTGTCATTTTGTTTTACTGCTCATATGATAATTTAAGTGAGCTTGTTGGAAGATGTTGTTGATCTCTAATCAATTCTTTTGTTGGTTGGATTTGTATTTAAAAAACGAGTTGTCTTTTAGGAAGTGAATGGTTTTTGAGGCAGATGTTACATGTAGAGGGCTGCAAGGTGGAAAGGTGGTTAGCGCCATTGCCTCGCAGCAAGAAGGTCGCCGGTTCGCATCCCAGGACACCCGGGATCTTTCTGTGTGGAGTTTGCATGTTCTCCCCATACAGTGTGGGTTCTCTCCAGGTTCTCCAGCTTCCTCCCAAACATGTTGCGGTTAATTGGTGATTCTAAATTGTCTGTAGGTGTGAATGTGAGTGTGCTTCGTTGTTTATCTCTAAGTGTAGCCCTGTGATAGATTGGTGTCGTGTCTAGGGTGTCCCCTGCCTTCACCCTAAATCAGCTGGGATAGGCTCCAATCCCCTGCGACCCCAGTGTGGATTAAGCGGTGTATCGATAATGGATGGATGGATACAGCATATAATGACTAACAAGAAATGCATTAAATATCAAAAATAAGAGGCGAAACAAAGGCGTAAATGGTCAGATCAGGTCTGCTTATGGAATACAGCGATGGGATAGAAAATAAATTTTATGTGTGCTATTTTTTTATTGTGTATAATCTGTCTATTTTTTTGGTTTAGTTTGCATTGACACAGCTTGGGTTTTAGAATTCTGATATTTCACATATGTTACAAGATTTGCATCTGTCTTTTAACATATTGGGGACCATTTTGGAAAAACGTTCAAGGTCCAGTGGGTAGGATTTAGTGGCATCTAGTGGTGAGGCTGCAGATTGCAAGCAGCTGAATACTCTTCCTTTTTCTTTTATAATGGGGAATCTACAATTAGGCCTGTGCGCTAAAACAATGCCGATATATGTAGGCAATAGACACTTTATCACTATGAAAGTGCGTAACGAAAACAAAAAATTTTAGTAGCACAAGCAAACTTTCATCGTGCGCTCTCCCTGGCTCATAAACAGTCTTCGATATCTTGACAATGGAGCCCCTTCACTCTCCCCTGAGAAGATGAAACACCCAGTTGGTCACAGACTAGCATGCCTCAGGAGACATGTACGGAAACCACAGAGGACTCTATTTTCAAGGGATATGATAACATCCCTAGATAAGACTTAAACTAGTGGGGGCTATACCCAATGGGGACCAACAGTCTAAAAATAACCAGAACTCTGCGTCCCCCACCATCTCTACCTCAGCAACACCTTCCTGGCAGCCTGCTCCCAGGGCAGACAGACTTGATGTTGGGGTGAATACAGGTGATAACCGGTCCTGCACCTTGAGCTTCAGAGTGTTTCTGATCCTCTCTAGAGCCAGTGTGTTGTTACTCCTACATTTTTTGCTACTGTAAAAACATGGTGACGCAACATGGCGGGATCTGTGGAAGAGGACCCACGTCCTACGTAGAATAAAGGGGCTCATTCTTAGCTAATGAGAACATAGCAACTTGGAATTACCATGGATTACACACTTCTAAACATGTGAAAACAGACCTCCCTTAAATCCTACACATGGCATTAAAACATGTTATGCCTACAAATTGTGTGCTGTTGAAGATTCATAAAAATAAATAAACACTGGGTGTCTCAAAAGTCCATATGTGGTGCAAATGTACAATATACCACCTATATTATACACATATGGCTCACTCTATAACAGCAACTACAAACATTACCATCTTTGCATTACATGGAATGTGCTTTTCTATAGTAATTATGGGGACTTTGCAACAGCAATAAATAATTGAAAGTCTTTGGCAGCACACAGGCTTTATCTGGTTCCATTTATGCCCCCTGATAGCGGTGCAGTTGTAGAGTGTGAGTCTGTGTGTGACTCACTCTGAGGCGACAGCAGCAGGAATAGGCTCCTCTAGTAACTCCAGACTGTGAAGAATCCAGAAGCAAAGCCACGGTCTGCTAGCATCCAGACACTACTCGCACAGAGAAACACATCACCACCCCCACACACACGCATGCACGCACGCACACACACACGTCACATGATCAAATGTGCATCAGATGACCAATTACAGCAATAAACGAGATAGTGGGATCTGCCAGTCAAAGACAGAGATGAGGGAAAACAAGCTTGCAAGACAGAGGAAGAAAATGAAAGTGGTGCAGCCCACAGAAATAGATTACACCACTTAGTTCTTTATTTCTGTTGAAGGTAGAAATATGACCATGTTTAGTATATATGATACACCAGAACAGTTACAGACAGGGCCATAAATATTTGGATACTGACACAACTTTTTAGCGTTTTGGTACATACACCACAATGGAAACAATCACGATGTGCTGCAAGACTTTCAGCTTTAATTTGAGGGTATTTACATCCAAATCAGGTGAATGGTGTAGGAAATACTTCAGGAATACCTTTAATCTGCTCTTTGTAAATAAAATAATGGGGGAACAACACACACCTGGCCATAAAACAGCTGAGCAGCCAATTGTCCACTTACTTTTGATCCCTTAAAAATGTAGCGGGTCCTGTTATTACACCGTTCACCTGATTTGGATGTAAATACCCTCAAATTAAAGCTGAAAGTCAGCACTGAAAGCACATATCGATTGTGTCATTTCAAATCCATTGTGGTGGCGTACAGAGGTGAAATGCTGAACATTTTGTCAATGTCCAAATATTTATGGACCTGACTGTATGATGCCTTTTGTGCTGGCTTTACTATATGAAATCATGAGTCTGTGTACCATTGCTGCAGAGTTTAAAAGAATATATACACAAACCGTTTTTGTGCCTTTAAAGAAAACATCACTAAAATGCCGAAGACAAATCAGTATGTAAATGAGCTGAGACTGGAGAGTCACTAATGTTTTCCTTTCTTTTCTGGTGAGTGTAAAGTGAAGCACACACACACACAGAAAACAGAGGTGACTTTCCCAAAAGCAGAAAAGCATATTTTAGCAATATTTCTATTTAAAGCAGAAAAACAGACCGAGCTTATAAAGAACCTATCCAGTGGCAGTGAGAGCCACTGTCCTACAGGTCAGCGCTGGTTATTACTCACAAACAGGAACTCCGGCAAATTAGGTGAATATAAATGGTTTGCAGGGAAACAATTACGTATCATTGGGTTTGTAAAAGATGTCCACCGTCTATGTACACATCCACAACAGGAAATTCTTGTGTTCTTTATTTAATGAAGTGCACTTTACCTCATACGCATCTGATAAGTGACGTAAGCCCTTCTTGAGATATTGGTAGTGTTGTTCCCGCAACAATGTTGGCCTAAAGAGCAAACACAGGACAGACAGATGGATTACAAACAGGTAGCAGATTGAACGCAACAGAAAATGTCAATTTAAGCACACAGTTCACTTGTACATGATTTATAACCTATGAATGAGAAATTAGAAATTTTAAATAATCAGTTGTCCATGAGGTACCACAAAACCTAAAGAAAACGGGTTAATAAAATTATTTTCATCATGCAAGGGTGTGGTATCATATCCCCCTGTGATTTATTTACTTGTAACTTTCAGGCATTTCACAGTCTCAGCAGCCTAATTAGTAGCTCTCTTTTATTTTCTCACTTATTTTTATTCACTAGAGTATTTAGGTCTGTCCTCATTAAGAAAAAAAAATCCCTGTAAACAAAAACATCATATTGAACTGACTTGTTCTTTTTAGGAAGAAATTTCTTTGACAAAACCAGGGAGAAAAAAAAAAGAAAGACTGCGCATTGTTTGTGTGGAGAATTTTAAAAGCCCATCAAGTAGAGACAAAGAGGGAAAAGTCTAGAACACCGAGAAACAACGAGAAATAATACGTGACACTTCCAAACAATGAGAAAGAACCTGGAACAGTCAAAAACAAAGAAAGAACATTCTTGAACATCTAAAAACAATGACAAACACTATGGAACATTTAGCAACAATGACAAATAGTCTGGAATACTTAGAAACAAAGAGGGAAAAGTCTAGAACACCTACAAACAACGGGGAAAAGTCTGGGATAACTACAAACAAAGACAAATAGTCTAGAAACAATGACAAACACTATGGAACATTTAGAAACTATGAGAAATAGTGTGGGATACTTAGAAACACACAGAAATTCCCTTTCTGGCAATGATGTTCGATACCACCGATTTCCTTTCCGATCCGATACTGAGTAAAATGCAGGCTGGTACCGGCGATACCAATCTGATACCGATCCGATACAAATGACTGAAGTATCAAAAGTATCGATATTTGAGATATATATATATATTTGAGATTTGAGAATCGATTTTAGAACATAAAGATCTGGTATCCGAAGTATCAATATTTCAGGATCCATCCGCACATCACTACCATTAAGGGACTGGCACTAACACAGGCCATTCCTGCTGTGGTACATGGCACTGGTTTGGGTTATAGACTTGCAAATAAAAATAAACATTAAAGTAAAAATGGCATCAAACTGTACTGAAAAAGTGAAACATGGCTAAGAAACAAAGATTTCGGAGGACTGTCTCACAAGTGGAATGATCGCAACAAATACTTCATCAACACCCAACTGCTAAATTAATCATCAACTGTTTTCACAAGTGCTTAATTAGTTTGAGTGATTTTTAAGAAAAAGGGTAAAATTCTCTGACTGCAGCTTCTTCGGTGTCAGTATTTTCTGGTTTCTTTCTTCCTCTATGACAGCAAACTGGATCTCTTTGGGTTCTTAGTCACAAGCTGTTCCCTTCATCATTTTAATGTCAGCGTGCACCACAGGAAGAACAGTGCATCTGTAGGTCCTTGCACACACACACAAGTGACAGTATATGTGTCAGTGAGTGAAAGACAACTGACACTCCCTTCCTCCCTCCTCAACACCCACCCAGTTCCTTCCCTGCCTGCCCTTTGTTCACTACACCGGTTGTAACTACACTCTAGCGAGCACAGGCAAAGTCAAAGAACACTCATCAAGGTTTCGTTGCAGTAGTGTTGCAGGACTACTGCTCAGCAGCTAAAAGCCGTTCCACTGACCACATCACATGAGGATTCAGCTGGCCCCACTAAATGCTGAGGGCAGAGCAGGCTACAGATGAGCGTGCCAAATTAAACCTATAATCTCTTTCTCAAGTTCAGCAGAGCAAATATTGAAGAAGAAAGGAGCTAATTCTCTGATGTTTGACGGACAATAATATTGACATCTTCATATTTCTACTTCTGTTATTCTTGCACAAAGACATGGGCAGAGATGTTAGCTGTAATGGTTAAAATTTGTATCTGTGTCATATTTATTTTACTACCAATGTTTAACTGAATAAGTAATGGGCTTATGGCGTATAGTCCAGAGGGCTGAAGGCTATGACTAACAACATCAACGTCATGCTCTCAGTAATGTTTGTGACAATGTTGAAGATTGTACCAACCTGGGTCGAGGTTTGCTCTCTACAGTCACACACAGGCTGGTAAAAGGCATCTGAAATCGTTTTTTTGCTTTGGATGACACTTTAGATCTGCCTTTGCACGCAGCTTTTTGGTGTTGATGAAATGGTCTAACAAATCAGTCGTGTTGACTGAAAGACTCGTCTCATTACCTGAAAGCTGCTCAGCTTCATCCTTTCTGTGGCTGAAAGATGTATATGTCAGCCATACAACAGACTAGAACTGTATGATTACAGCCAAAATCATAATCACAATTATTCCAGCTATACTGTGTATATGTGGAGCCTGCATATCAACAAACTCTGTATCTTAGAATTAAAAAAGAAAAAAACCTCAGTGTCTCAGAGAACCTTGAAATCACAGTAAATGATGTTCTATAAGACAGACTTGTCATGGAAAATCACAGCTTTCTTTTTGTATGAAACTGCAAAAAAGACTAAGTTCATTTGTCTCACTTTACGTCACATCTCCTGCTATGTAACTATTGTGCATGCATATATCGCAAGATCAGGGCTGCACAATAAATTGTTTTAGCGATATGTACATGCACAAAAATACGTAGAGCGAGCACTTTCTTGGGTTTCTGTCATGGACAGCAGTCGCATGTCATCTCTCTCTGCTCATGTTTCCTGCCTCTCTTTACAATGTCAACTGCAAAATAAAGGCAACCTCAAAATAACTAACGAACTAACTAACTAACTAACTAAATAAATAAATAAAAATGTATGTATGTATGTATGTATGTATGTATGTATGTATGTATGTGTTTATGTATTTATTTATTTATTTTAAATGGCAAATCTTCAAAGATGCACGTGTTTACGAAAAAAAAGAAAATTCAGGTGCTCATCCGACCTGGACTATTTGTGAAGTGTATACGGATCTTTGTTGTTAAAATCACCGTTAATGCTTCAACACATTTTGCTCTATTACTCATTTTAAATGTTTAATAATACTACCGTCAAACTATCAGGAGAATACAATCACATTATTTTGTCTGAAGATAAATCACAACCTGTTTTACACCAGTACTTGTTTCTATTAAATTCTAACAACAGTTCATAAATATGTTATATGTCAGCATCAATATCAAATACATTGCAGCAGGGAATTTCTGATTAAACTGCTACAAAAGTATGATATGCAGACCAGAAAATAACTACACCCTGGATGCCTTCCTGTCATGTAAGAAAACAGCGATTAACCTCAAAACCTCGAGTTCAGCCCAGAGCACAGAAAACAGATGATTACTACTAAATGCATGACCTCTACCGATGAATAGCATTTACTTTCTGATAGTACCAAATGCATTTCCCCATTTGGCTGCAGTACCAGTGACATTCAGGTCCAGCAGTTGTCATAGAAATTAAATGAGTCACCCCACTGAGAAGTGATGACAGCTGATAAAAGCAGCAACGTACGTGGGCTGATCAACAGCCATCATACATCAGTGTGCAGCCATCGCTATTAGCAAACAGCAGCTGTTTGTGATCAAAACCAGCCACAGCCAATCAGTAGAGTTCTTGGAAATGCCTCATAATGGCTGTAGATGTATTCAACATTGTGAGCATCCTGTGACAAGATGACCATTCTCGGTACGGCTACACAATATCAGACCTATTTGTCAACGTCGGTCTGAAGATACATCCTTCTATAAACTCAGCTGTATATGTTAGAAGCTTTTCAGATGTACGTAGAAGAGTTCAGTTCAGTTTAGTGTCCTCATTTCACATAATTACTGTAACAATACTGGAAAAGGGCCACATGCATGAATCAAAGGCAAAACCACATCATTTTTCATATTTTACAAATAGACAAGGTAGTTCCATCTTCTTAAGCCTCTGAACCTCAAAACCTGCCAGCAGGGATAAAAGATGTTTGTTGTTTTAAAAAATTACCCCATTTATTAGAGTTAGAAACGGTCAAAACAGAAAATTATTAGATTTTCCACTTTTTAACGGTTACTTAACTCATCAGTTGTGACATGTAGTTCTGTCTGGAAAATAAACCAAATCCAAGCTTGAAATCCTCGTCAAAATTACTTTATGCTATATTCAAATTTACTAAAAACCAACCATTTGCACCAGATTCTGCAAAAACAAAAAAATGCTGTGCTCCTGAGCGCAATCAAGAAGCGACAACTGACTATGACCAACAGTCTCCTGGCAAAAATTCAGAGACTTTTTAGCTACACTGCAGGTTGTGTTTACAAAGAGCAGATAGAAGACAAGTATGGTAAAATATAAGCAGTTAAATATCTATAGTACATGAACCACTATTTCTTCAGCGCAGTTAACACCTGTGGGTGTTTGGAAAAATGTCAAAGGGCTTACATGTTGATTTCAGGTTTGTTTTAATTAAAAACAAAAACAAACAAACAAACAATTTAAAGCAATACAACTGTGCTATACTGCCCAAGTATAGCACAGAGTTCTTGCTACCTCTAGTCATGGTTGTGCTGTTGCCATAAAGGTGCAGGACTTCATACAGCAGTGAAAAATGGGGCCCTCGATACCAATTCAGACTCACAATTCAAACTTTGTTCTGTACTTTCTTCTGCCTTGTCATACCTTCTCACTCACAATGCAATTCACATTTAGTGAAAATAATCCTGTATTCTCATCTCAAAAGCCAGCAGGTAAACATCTAGGGATATCTGACCAAAAAACAATGCAGGATTTGATTACCTATGCTTCAAAATTAGGACATAAAAAACAGTTTCATGTTTATATCTCCTCCCAGTCATTCTAAAATGCATACATTAAATCAGATAGTTTACTTTTTGTTGTCTTTTGATACCTGACAAAACACGGTAACAATAATGTTAGTAAGGCAGGATTTTCATGTAAGGGGCATTTTCATGTCAGATGTGGGATAAATGGCAGTAAGTGCTGAGTTGTTGCACCATCATAACAACCACTGACATAAAAACTACTTAGATCTAATGAAACAGCACCACAACAGAAAATACAGCCAAAAAACTCCCCCAAAAAACCCCACTGGCATTGAAAAACTTAAGACAAAACTCGCCAAGTTCTGCCACTTCCTGTCATTATTTAAGAAGCTACTCATTTGGCAGCACACTGACACTGTGGACACTTACTGTGGTAGGCTGTGTATTTGCTTGTAAACACTGATGATTTCTTCAATGCTGTGTTCTACTTTTTTCTGGTTGAAGAGAGAAGAAGAGAACAGACATCATGAACGTCATATACATACATACATACATACATACATACATACATACATACATACATACGTACATACATACATACATACATACATACATACATACACTGTACCATGCTGATTCTAGAATATATTCATTTCCATTAACTATCACTGTATGGCTGCTTGTAAAACATCATGTAATTATTAGTGACAATTTAAAATAGTTGTTAGCTTTAATAAGATCTATATAAATGTGGTATGACTCGTCTCATTTCTCTGTGACAGAATATCCACAACAATACTAATTCATTATTAGTTTTATTGCTTCCTACTATATTATAACTTTGTTAGCTCGGCTGTATTTTGTACAGCTCACTTTAGAGAACTCTGTTAGTTGAGTTGGACAGCTGGTATGATTTATTCAACAGAAACTGTGACCACTTGGGCTGAACAATGACTTGAAATATTATGTAAATGGCAATATGGACAAGTGCAATATTCAAATCAGTGAAGCTGCAATTTCTTGATAAAAGTGAAATGTGTCACAGCATACAATTATAAATGAAGCATTGTGTTGGTACAGAGATGCACCAGCCTACTAATCGTATTCTCCAAATATAAGGGAACATACTTATGTGGCACAAAACACAGCAAAAATCACAGCATTGTTTTTTATATTTGTTTCTGCAGAAAATAAACGAGAAAATGAATATACTCAATCTGTCAAAATAATCTCAACATCGTTTTTTGCACATCATTCAGCCCTACTTGATGTGATTTAGTAAAGGGGTATTGTGAGAACCCAGCAGGAAAAGTGAAAGTGAATTTACAGTGTAATCAGGCCACACATTTAGGATGACAGGCAATACTACTGCTTCTGATGATCGGGGGGAAGGTGTTTGCTAAGTCTACTGTTAGAGTGTAATAACCATGACATAAAAGAAATAAATACATTTTTAAAAATCATCTCTTTTGGAGTTATCCAGTGTGAGCTACAGTCTTTTATACATGGTAAGGGACAAAGTCATCATGGTACTTTGATGCATTAATTACACTTAAGTCACGATGCAGAAGCTAAAATCACTTTCTGACAGGTGCAAAACTGCATTACATGAGTTGAACTGGTCTTTAAAGCCATTTCTATGCGGTAAGAGCAACTAGCTTGGGTACAGGGTACAGGGCACAAAGCAGCTACAGTAATGCAGAGACATTCGGATAATTGCTCCCATAGACTGAAATCAGTTTGTGGCAGTGGATCGCGTTTTGGCACAACGCTGGCGCTGAATGAACTGTACCACACACTGGCTGGAAGTGGAGACCATTAGATAACACACTGGTGAGGAGTTATATCCGCTGGGGTCTCGTTAACGGCTTTACTTAAACTGAAGTGGGCTGTGTCGTCCCAGGTTTATCTCTTCTAACTACTTAACTAACAGCTAGGCTAAGTTCATTTAAACTTAATCTCATTAAGGCACAATGCTAGCTGTCTAAAGCCTAAAGTTTGCGAACTCAGACTGGATAAAGCAAAACGAGCTAACAACCACTATTTTAATCGCATGTCCGAAGATGTATAAATACACATCGGATAAATGTGTGTCACACTTTAAAGACTCCTCCATCCAGAGAGGAGAGCACGTTAGCATTAGCCACATTACCTAACGGAGCTAATCTGTGCTCCGCTCACCTGCTCCACTGAAGTCACCGTCTCCACTCCGTCGTCCGCCAGCATTTCTCCAGCGTGCTGTTCACTGAAGCACCGCAGAGGCGTCGGCAGACCGTCCATGATGATTGTGGGAACCGTTAGCAGCAAGGATACTGAGAGTGACTCAATAATGTCAGTTTGTTTTGGTAGTTCGCTCACTTTCACTGGACTCTACTCGCTTCCTGCTCAGCCTGGAGTGGGAGGAAGCTGCGCACGCACCCGCTACGGCGTCTCCGTGGGGACAAACATCCTTCAATCCGCTTCACTCACTGAGGAGACCAGCCCGAGCAGGAAGGCGTACTGCCTCCTGGAAAAGTCTTCATCATCACTTATGTCATAGCATGCTGTCTATGGTTGTGTGTCCTCGGTCATGTGTTCATTATGTAGCTTTTTAATGCTGGCGTCGAAAGAGGGAGTGAGGAGACAATGCAGCCGCACGTATTATTTCTACTTTGATGTGAAAGCAGTGAGCTGCACACAGAAATACCAGAAACTGTGCAGCTGGTCCTTCAAAATAAACACTCGTATTGGCTGTGTCTATCTGTATGTCTGCATCATGGCTCAACATGGGAAAGAATTGCCAGAGGAACTGAGAAATCTGATTATAAATCTTTACAAAGGTGATAAAGGATGCAGATCGATTAGAGACCAACTAAAAATCTGTGGAGGAACAATCACAGTAGTAATGGGGAGGTGTAGAAAGAGCCACAGCACCACTAATTAGAGCCATAGTGGTCATCCTGCAATGGGACAATTCTTTTATATTATAATGGAGGACCCATTTGATATTGTGTTTTCGATACTAAATGTTCACAACAAATTTGCAAGTAATCACATTACCAGGATCTAACTTGATTTTAACAGTACAACCACCTCCATTTAAACACATTTAAGCAAGAACTTCTGACCAACCAGAAAATATTGACACAGATATTGCAGCAATTTAAAAATTTTATATTAATGTTAAGCATATAGAGAGAATAAAAATGCATCTGTAACCTATTGTGAGGAGCTTTGGAAACAAGTGGTACAAGTTGTTGAACAATCCAAGGCTGACCCACATTCTGGTAAGTAACTCCAGTCATCTACTCCCACCACCTGATTAAATGCATAGCTGTAATGGTACACAGTTTCAGATGGTTGCAGCTGATCAATAATAATACCGTTCACTAATTCCTTTAACAGAACCTGCACCCAAAAAAAACCCCCAAAACTGAAGGAAGGATGGACACAGTGTGATGTCCCAACAAGGTGGGTGTCCTGAAGAGAACAAGGACACCCACTGCAGATCTCTCACATGAATTTTTCGTATTTCATTTTATTTCATTGTTTTATGAACTTTATCAATAATTTTAAAAGCCCAAAAGCAAAACCGTTCCATATTATGTCCTATCAGTCACATTAAAAATATTATTATACTGTATATGAGTTCTCATGTGCTTGATAATGATAAGAGTAAATACATACGTACATACATACATACATACATACATACATACATACATACATACATACATACATACATACATACATACATACATACATACATGCATACATACATACATAAACAGTCTGACTTGCAGAGATTTGCTGCAAATAAAAATCTGAACGAGACAATTTGGCACCTAGGTGTGAGTAATTGTTTTTCAGACTGGCCATCCATATAAAAACTGTCTGGCTCCACCACTGAACACAGCACAGCGCTTATAGTGATTTTGATTTGATTTACCAGCAGAACCTCCATCACTAAATCACGTTATCCAGGGCAGATGGGTTTTTTATTGTGGAAAGCTCCACCGGATGTGTCCGTCTAGCAGTGAGTGTAACTTGACGGTGGTCCACCCACTGAGGCTGGAGGCTGACTGGAGGCAGAGCTGAGCATCCCTGTTTGTTCCAGCACCACTGAACAAAAAGAAGCAAAGCCAAAGCCTAATGCTGACCTTCTGAGCAGACATGGGCTGCAGGTGGGGAGGTATTGCTCATCATCCGTCGCTGAGTTAGCTGACTCTGGCTGCTATAGAATCCAACACTACGTCCAACACTATGGCTAAGCAGTACGATGTGCTCTTCCGACTCCTGCTTCTCGGAGATTCTGGGGTTGGAAAAACATGTTTGTTATGCAGATTCACGGACAACGAATTCCACCCGTCTCACATCTCCACCATTGGTAAGACACTGCTCTGCCAGCAGGACTTCCTTCTTCATTTTTTCCCTGCACTTGGTGTTAACTGGCTCTTCCATTTGTTTAAACGGTCTTCCATTGTTTTCTATTGATGTCATTTGCGCATCAGCCAGTCTTTATGGAAACTGAATTTTCAATGTGGATTCCATAAATTCGGTTGCAACAGGAATTGAAAAGGCTTTGCCATGATTGAATCAGAGTGGTGACTTCATATGGGAGAAAGAGTGTTACCTGTGCAGTGGTTGCATTGGTTGGAGAGTCCCTGAGGGGGGGAGAGCCAACACTTGGCAGCCATGCAGATGAGTTTACCAACTATCAGCACTTGCACCCACTGGCAGCCCAGTGCCACACAACAAATACACAGATTTTTGCATATGGGAGTCTATCCTTTAGTTGGCTCCATGAGGTTCCTGAACAAACTGATGAATGATTCCTGTTATTCCTGCTGATGTGGGCCACTGGACTGACTCCATATTCTTGTAAGATGAAATCTGATAAGGAGGGTTTTGGAAACATAAACTAAAAAAATAAATAAAAATAGGAACAGTACCAGCTAAATCTCAATTTACAGAATGAGTTTTGTTCAGGATGATTATTGCACAAATCAAATGTTCTGTGTTTACTTGACAAGGCCTTAACAGCTCCCTATCTATTTGCAGAAAAAAAACTTACAGCATCCATTTCTGCACTCGTGGATTTGTCACATCGGTAAAAGATGACTATTGACTCAGCAAAGCATAACTAGCTCCTGTCCTCAACACGGGTTGTGCAGTATTTCTACCTTCTCAGTTAGGATTCAGAGTGCAGACCATTACGGGCGCATTACCGTGCTTCACTTTGAGGTGTGGGAAATAAGGATGTACAGTGAGCTGTGGATTCCTCACATGCTGCAGTGGAGTCTCTTATCTCCTCTTCTGAGGCAACTGGGCCGTTTTTTTCTGGGTGTGTGTGTGTGTTTCCACTTAATAGAGATCTTCTCCCAGTCAGCTCCTATTTTGTGATCTGGGGAAAATATCTAATTTAAAATTTTCTGACAGATATTGCAGTTTAAAAGTCACGCTTCAGTTCACTATTTACCATGTAGCAGATTTAAAACATGTGATGTCAGACGTGCTGCAACATTCACCTTAACTGCAGCCTTTGCTGTTTGCAAATTGCTATTTCCCTTTTCAAATCAATAAATAATTTTAAATTGTGACAAACTGCTGTGACTGGAGGATGCAGAAAGAGTCTGTGGTTGTGTTGGATATGTGGGTCTTTAGTGAAAAGACGGAGCACATGTTGTACAAGTAAGATCAAGGCAATCAGTTATGAAACTGGTGGCAAGCCTTGAATTTATAGACAGATACTGGCAACAAGAATGTGACTGCACCACTATTTATTCATTTTAACAGGATTTTTAACTGTGTTTTTTTTTTGCTCCACTTGTGCATTTGCTTGGAAGCTTTTAGTAGTCAAATGAATGCCTTTGCAATTTTTTTTTTTTTTTTAGTGTTCGCCCTGCAAACACCCCACAGAAAACGAAGCTCAAAATCTATTTTGAGTCTCTATATGTGCTCATTACTCAAGCCTCATTATACAGAATTCTAAATGCCGGTGTTGTCTCACCTGCACCTGCCTGTTGTAATATATGCTCAATGCTTGCAAAGACTGCAGTATGCTATTTTAAGTCAAAGACCTATAGCGCTCTACAGGAAACTTCCGCCCTGTAGAGTGATGCTCACCCTGATCATTGCAAGCCTCTCTGTTGTCTCTTACAAGAAAAGTTCAACCTGTGCGCAGAAAAAAAAGATGAATGCAGTGATCTTTCTGCGCTTTTGTTGCCGTGTACCTAATGTATCACCATCGCAGCTGGATGCTGGCGCTGAGGTCCAGATACTCATACTGCACAGAATAATTGTGGGCAGCGGGTGGTGTCTGTAATCCTCGATGGGAGGCCTTTCACTGGCCTGCAATGATTAGAACTCCTCCTCAGATAAACAAGGTCCGCAAAGTCCAAAGAGAGAGCCAGGCAAGAGTGACCGCCATCAGTGCTCCCCTGTGGAGAATCACTGAATAATTTGCCAACCTTCACAGTGATAGACGGATATAAATTTTCCCCCCTGTCTCCCTCACGGGCAGCTCCATTATTCATCAGCTCCCTTCACTCCATTTTTGCTATTAATTATCAGAAAAAAAGGACATCTCACCTGTAATTTTTTTCTTCACCGCAAGCATCAGAGGATAAAAAGCTGATGAGTATCTTCTTTTACCTTCCGCTGTCACTCAAAAGAGCAAAACCCCTAAATTCCAGCACAAACAACTCCCAGCAAACAGAGTGAGGATGAGCAGATGGTGATGCAATGTGCAGATACCTGAACAGTAAACTCATATGTGTCTTTTGATTATTGTTGGTCTTTCATGGATCTTTATCAGCGGCTACATCAGCCTCCACTCTTGTAGGAAGACTTTTTGCTGGGATTTGTTTCTATTCGGTCACAGGAGCATTAGTGGTTGTCTGACACAGTTCCAGTTCATCTCAGAGGTGTGGGGAAGGGTTGAGGTCAGGGCTCTGTGCAAGGCCAGTTAAGTCCTTCCACACCAGAAAGCCATTTCTTTATGGATGTTGCATTGTCTACGCGGTGTTGTCATGTCGACATGAGGTCGCTCATTTGGAACTGACAGGCTTGGTTCAAATCATGAACAACAGCCTCAGACCAAAACTACACAAACCCGGTTGGACAGAGGTGTCCTGTGTCTCCAGAGCAGTTTATTCCTTCCCTTGTATTCATGTTTAACATGGTCTCTGAATAGTTTTGTGGCAAGTCAGTAAAAAACCTTGTCACTGACACAGATACACTATTTGTTTTCTATAAAATGCAAGCCTAAACAATAAAAACCCAACAAATCGACAGCAATTGAAGCAGGTGGAAATCTGATCTTAGATGAATGACTGGTGCCCCCTCACTTATTAAGGTGTCCCATTTTATTTTTACAGGTCACTGTGTTCTAGACTTGAGAGAGCATATTTCTTAGACTAAGCACAGCTGTAGAGATGATTTAGTAATGATCACACTGCTGAGTTTAATCTTCCTCACCGTTAACTCACAATCTCTTCACTGGACTCCTCGGAGCTCCTGGCTGTCAGAACACCTATAAAACATCAGCCTGGCCCTGCTGTATATATCATAGTTTAATAAGCAGCTGTCCTCATAGTGGAGATCCCAGTGGTGATATGATCACAACCTGGTCATACGCTCAGCTCACCGTTGCTTGACAAGCTCAGCAGTCTGACGCATCACAGCCACCACAGATGCTTATCCGGTTGTAAAGTGGTTATCAGTGGAACAAGAGTGATATCATAAATGTAGCTTTTCCTTGGCTTTCTAAGAACATGAAAGATGTGTTCTTTATTAACCCCCCTAAGGAGGCTATAGGTGTGGTACTGTCTGATTGTTTTTTCATTATAGTCACAGGATCTCTTCAAAACTGCTTTAGAGGTGCTGTGAACCGTGGCATCCTCAGGGTTGGAAAGTGGCTGCATGTCTTTCTCTTCGCATTTCTGGTCTTGTCTTTATTGTGTCTTTCTTATAAAGGCATGAAACAGACCCTAAACACAGGGGTTACACTCGGCCAGAGCCCCCCCCCCCGCCAGAGTTCAGCTCTGTCTCCTTTAGCATCACAGTATCACTAACTAACAACTTGTGAAAGGTGCTTTAGGTCACTGAGTGGCACTGAACAAACAAATGTAGAAATGTCACCTTCTGTTTGTTGACTTTATTAAATAGCAGCAGCATCCAGTCTGAACCATCAGTTAAATACAATACACAGCGTTCACAAATAAAACAAAAATAAAAATGTTCTGGCTTCTCTTAAGTACAATCTGACTGATTTGGTGAAAGAAATTTCATTTTGTGGTGCAATATGAAAAACTAAGATTAAGAAAATTCAGCTGCAACACGACTTTCCAGGAACTCAGCCCTTGTTACTCTGGTCAATCCACATTGGCAGAACACTGTGTACAGTGGTAATTAGAACTACCTTCTACTGAGTTGTCAATATTACTGTGAGCCCCGACCTCACCTGATAAGGACTTCCCTTCTGCACAAATCCTAGTTTAACCCCTGCCCAAGCAATTACATGTATCTAAATGTTTTTTCTTTTAAATATAGGCTATAGAACAACAAATCCAAATCAGTGTGAAGTAAAATTTTTCCACATTACTTTTAAATCAAATGTAAACTAAAACATGACCAGATTTTTATACTGATATGAGTTAAAAAATGATGTTGAAAAATTGTCCAATGCTAATTTTCATGGACTCCAACAACACTGCAAGACTCACAGTGAACTGCAAAGTTCAGAATCAGCGCAAAGCAACCAGCAGAGGGTCTTTGTGCTCCTGGTCAGCAGGAGGGTCTGGGGTGCTGAAGGCAACACAGGTGAGCTGAGATGAGGTGTTGCTTCAGTTGTAATGAGATTACTCCTCTTTGTCTCTACACTGCCAAAATTTCTATATATTTTTTTTATTTTTAAAAATCATAGTCTAAAGCCTCAACCAATGCCGAAGAACAGAACATTTTTTGAGGAAATTCATCATGTTTTTCACAACCTCTCCTAAAGCTTTATATAACTTTTGTTCTCTAGTTGTCCCCAAGACTTGCAACCAGATCTTGATCTGCCAAATCTGTGTAAAATGTTTTTTTTTTAAAGATATGTGCTCTACTGTTATACACGTGTTTTTCAAAAAAGTTGAACTTAAAGGTTTTGCGGGGGTTTTGGATCATGCAGTAAGGCAGCCTTGATAATGTTTTCTAGGTGGAGCACCCATTTGATCACAGTGCTCGCCTCCCTGCCTGCAAATGTTCCACCACAAGAATTCCACTTGTCAGTATTTTGAGTGAACACCAAACCCGCATTTGCTTAGCCCCACCAACGATGACAGTGATTGGTTTAAAGAAATATAAACCACAGCGTTTTTTCCTCTATGGCAGAAAGATAGTGTGGTGATTTTTTTATTTGTCACCATTCTTTCTGTATCTTTTTTCATCTGTGTTAAGTCTTAGCTATATTTTTCAGTTCCTGTGGAGCCATAAGGCAAACATGGCCAGAGGTCCAGAACGGAGAAGGTTCTATTGTTTACAGGTCATTGTATAAAGGTATTCATGCAGTTAGACTGACTGGAAATCACAGGGGAACTCAATTTTGTTTCCATGATCACAGGTTTTCTGACTTGCGTGTCAGTGATCACAGATGTACTCACTTTTGTGACACTGACTTTCTATTTTGGGGTGTGTTTTTACGATGTAGTCTTTCTAAAGAATCTGCTTTTTATTGTTCATTAGAGGAAATCCTGTGCTGTTCAGCAGCTCAATACTGCTCATTACTGAGAGGAGATACAATTCTGAATCACTTGACATTTAGGTGATTTCACTCACTTTCGTTGCATATTGTATATTTGTGATAAACTAACATCAGCTAAACTGATTGCTGGTCTTAGGTTCAGTCATCTTATGGACTAAAGTACGGACCCAGATATAAATGCTGTTAATTCTGGCCTCACCAAAATAACCACTTAGTTATTACACATGTTTAATTGTGTCTAGTAGGTTAATACAAAGCTTAATTGTTCACTTCAGATTGGTGACAACATTGCAATTGTTAAAAAGGTTCAGTCTTCGTCTTGCTGTGCCCTAAAGACAACAACTGTTGACAGTTTTGTCTGTCTTCTGCTAGTATTCATAGTCATGGGTGACAGAACCATCCCCCAGTGAATTAGTGTCAGTGCCAGAACATCCATCCATCCATCCATCCATCTATTAGCAGGCCTGTCACCACTACCTACAGCACGCTGACACGTCTCAGCGCCTAATCCGTCTTGCATAGTCAAACATAGCCATCCTTGTAATTAGTCGAGTCAATTTTGGGTGTGTTCTCATTAGTTTTTACATGGCTCTCACACTGCTGATTGTCAAATGCTGCCATGTTAAATTAACTGCTGTCTCTCACATTGTGCACGCTGCACGTGTCTCCATTGTCACAGTTGTCTGTGAAGGGAAGATGGGACCTGAAAACCTCCTTTTTTTTTTCAAGCTGTTCTTTAAGACTTAGGATTTTACATACACAAAAAATGACAATAGCTGAGTGCAAGGTTTGGTATTCAGTGAACATACGGTTAATACAAACATGTAGAAGTCACAGATACAGTTTGCTTCAGTTATCTTTACTTACTTTAACCAAAACAATAGACTCTCAGCACTGTCTCCTAGGAGGTCGTACGTTTCATATAAAACACAGTGCAATAAATCAAAACCTATCAAACGGGAAACAGTCTGTCAGTGAAATGTGTTGGTGTCTGGTGCAGACTTAGTTAGATTCTAGGTAGATAGAAAGACATCACAGTGTAGCATGTATGCACTTTCAGTCCTATAACTCTGAAACACTAGCATTCAGGATTTCCAACAAAATTCTTCAAGCAGCAAGTGAGACTTATGCTGTAATGATAAAAAAAAACAACTAAAATATCCGAATACCAGACCTTTAATAAGACCTTTACACCTTGGTAACCTCGTGTCTCTAGCATTCACTTGTTTGCACTCTGGTTTGCCCCTGTGGAGTCCACCTGCAGCGCACCTAGCTCGACAAAACAGCCTCATTTGGCTCAACTGTTATAAAACAATGGAAAGCAGTCAGATGGATGCCCATACTACTGATTTGTTTAACAGCTGGAGGCAGACAGTGTGGGCTGAAGCATTGTTTAGTTTTCTCAAAAATAGAACTCACTGACTGCTGATTTTCCACATATCCAGTTTGTGTAGGTATCATGATTTTGTGGACTGTAAAGATGGAGAATCCATTAGTCTGTATCTGCACTTTAAAATGTTCCAATTTGCATGAGTAAATTCTAACCAGAGCTCATTACATTGCTACTACAGTGGGACGATAACACAGGAAGACAGCCCCCTTTTTGAAAAGTCTCCTCTCTTGTCTCAAGCCTCAGGCAAGGCAAGCCACTGACTGTTGTGCTGACCTTTCACTCGGTCTTGCTCTGAATGCTCTCTAGTCAAAGGCAAAGTCAAAGGCTGAATTATAGCTCAAATGAGGCCTCATGCTGTCGCGCCGGAGCACTTCAGCCTCCGAGGAGTCTCCGCTTGACTCCAGCTTGTTCTTTGCAAACGTACAGTCTGAATCTTAGCGAGGCCAGCTATACTACATCTGTCAGCTGTTTCCTTCTGTCAGCCTCTTGAAATATAAACCTTGCAGAAATGAAGCTCTAAAAACCACAAACAGCAGGTCTTCCAGTTATGTGAATTGATTAGACTCTTTAGTTTTTTCTCTGAGTGTGATGCCGACTGTGACATGCGGTTTTCGGGTGTCAGGTTAATTGGGATGAGCTGTTAATTGATTTTGCAGGAAATGTAGTGGTCTATAGGAGCCAGAGTTTGCATTTTATTGACCTAAATGCATTAGTTTGAGAGGATAGATGGAGAAAAGAGACAAGAAAAAAAATTAAAAAGAGAGTTCAATGTCAAAAATCTGATTGGGATTTCTTCTAATTTGGCTCTGATGCAGCTGCCTCTCTCTATCTGTTGTCTCCACTGTGGGATCTCTAGCAGTGTCCCGTCCACAGCTCTGTCTGGTTATCCGACTGGTTGTATGTCACAAGCAACAGGCAGTCAACAGTCAGGGATAAACTCTGGAAACTTCTCCTTTGTTTAGGCCTCTGAACTCCAAGCAGTTTCTGGGTTCATGTTTCTTTATTGCGGCTCCATTTTTCACTGCAACATAAAGTAAAGAAAACAACAAAGGTTTCACTTCTTTACTTACCTGTTTAACAAAAAAAAAATAAAAAATGTAACAATCTGGAGTCAACATGTGCAACGTTTTGCCAGGTTTCCACAGATGTTACCAATACTTGGAAAAAATATGGAAAAAAGAACAATGGTGAACATAAGAAAGACATTTTACTGTTTACTTTGCATCCATACTGTCCCACTGTCTGCTTTTTGTAAACACAGCCTGCAGTTATACCTAAAAAAAAAAAGTCATGGCTTCCTGGTAGAGCTAAGGAGCACATTTTTTTTTTTTCTCCAAGAGGGGTAAACATATGTTCACATTGTAAACAAAGACATTTCAATGAAGTTTTGTGTTGGAATTTGTCTTATTCTACATTTGAATCCAAAGGGCTGCTAAACTGCCTTTCATTGTTGTTAACACTGACAATAAAGATCTATACTAAATGTATGTTAGCTTTAAATATCAGTTATTGGTCTTCTTCACTATTAATAAACCATATTGGTCAACCTCTGTCATAGACTGACTGTAGCTGTTGTTTCTTATTGTTGTCATTGGGATTAGCTGTACAGAAGCATCTCCTCCTACCATGTAGCACAATATATCTGGGAGAGGGGGAAATTTAAACTCCTGACCACAGTCTTTCTGAAATCTTGGCTGCAGCATTCAGTGGTATTAGTACCATTTATTATTCTTTATAGAGAATTACAAGCCCTCCTCTCCCAACCTGACAGGAATACATTCCTCAGGAATTAGTCAATGCTTAGATTTAGTTTTTATCATAGCAATGCAAAACAAACAAACTCCCTCGGTATATGTATTGGCCTTCAGAAATGCCCAGTCCATGATAGAAATATAAAACTGGCTGTGATTTTCTGTGAACAGTATTACACTCAGCCATCAGAGATAGATCAGAGATCAGTGAAGCATGAGCGGCTTCTTACTTAACCCCTTCACATCTCGGCCCTCCTTTCTTCGTTTCTTCTATGTGGTGTTATGCAGAGCTCAGCCTCCCCCCCACCTGCCCCCGCCCCCTTTTACCTCCCATCCAATCGATGCACCGAGAGGAACTAAATGAGGACTTGGCTCGCTGAATCATTAGCTCGATCTTTTAACAGGCTGATTATACCGGGGTGATGCAGCTCTCATTGTGTTCTATGATGTTTCCAAGCTGGAGTAGATACTGGTGAACTCGTGTCTGTAGAAGACGTGTTGGGTTAATTGATTTCAGTCACTTACAGAGTGGAAAGAACACTCGTCTCTGAGAACATTCAAAGCGTTTAGCCTTTGCTCAGCCCTCTCTGGATCTGGAGAAATATTGAATAAATCAAGAGCTCCTCTGTGAATGTAATATAGCATTTCCTGACCATGTCTTTTCTCTCACAGGAGTTGACTTCAAAATGAAGACACTAGTAATAGATGGTATCAAAGTACGGATACAAATATGGTAAGAAACGAGACACAATGTTGGAAGGCCTTGTGCATGACAATAACAATACTCGTATGTTAGTCAATGTTATTCGAGCACTATTTAGGCTGTGTTGTCTTTATTATATCCAGGTAATTTGGGATTTTAGCAAACTGCAGGATATTGTATTGCCAAATGTGGTCACTGATTGTATTATGATTCCAGTTGTTTTAGTTTTGGCCAAAAAAATATTCACACTTTAATTAAGGAGCCCAGAGTTTGTGTCTTGCCATGTATCTGCAATTGAAGTTGTCTTTATAAAGCAGAGTTATGACTTTTTTCTAAACCTAGCCAAAGGTACGAAACACTGATATTATTGAAAAAAAGAAATTTAGAGTGTGTACGTTTTTATATTTTTTAAAAAGCATCCAGTATCAACTTTCAGTCTGGCAGTAAAATGAAAAGACCAAGGCTAGGACTTTATAAATAGCTACATTTTCTTTCCAGTTACATTTAGGTGAAACATGTATGAAGAGCTTTGAGGTTATGTTTGGGGTTGAACGTTGGTTTAAAAAAACATCCACAGTCCTTTCTGTTGACTGCAACAAAAGCACTTCGGTTAAAGTTAGGGAAAGACCAGATCACTGTGGACCTTCCTGTGTCAGAGCAGACCACAGTGTCCCAACATAACCATAAAAACATAGAATTATTCTGCAATTACCACAAGTGACTGGCATGAAAATCAAAGTCAAATCTAAAGAGCACATTTAAAAACAACAAGAGCTGAAGCACAACTAGAATTGCAGACATTAGAACACAATAAAACACAAGGATTAAAAGACAAATCCAAAAAAAAGGGAAAATGACAACAAAGTAATCATGCAAAAAGAGGTAGGTCTTCAGCAGCTACTTTTTGTTTTCTAACATTTAAGTACTGTTCCAGTGATTAGGAACAACCACTGTGAAGGCTCCATTGCCTCTATTTTTGTGTCTGCATCTCATAACATCCAAAAACTTCTGTTTTTTTGTCTATCTTGGTGTTATAAGCAGAGAGTAAAGATGGAAGAGTGGCGTTGATTCAGTTAAAAACCTCAACAACAAACAACAAAATCTTAAACTCAATCCTGAAACGCTTTATTTTTTCCTGTTGGAAGACGAGCAGCTACGTATAAAGAATTACGACAGTCTAACCGAGTTGTAATGAAGACATGAATAACTTTTAGTGTTTGGGAGACAGATGAACCTTCACCTTAGCTGAAAGTCTTCAGGGAAAAGAAGTTAGTTTTGACCACTGAGCTGACTTGTCTGTTAAACCTGAAGGAGCTGTCCAAGGGTTTTCAAAATATCATTTGTAAGAGCCAAGAGGGCTGTCATTGTCGTTGAAGAGGCCTGGTTGACCAAACATAACCATGTTAGTCTTATTTTCATTTAGACTGAGAAAATTTAGATCCAACCAGATTTTATTTGGGCTAAAAGGAGGATTGGGTCCAAAATGGAGCCTTGATGGTCCCCATTAATAAGCAGCTCTGCAGTCCATGTGAACTGAGAAGCTCTTTTTTGTCAGATATGACTTGAACTATTTAAGTACCTTTAATGTCAATGTGCTGTTCAAAATGCGAGATATTGCGCTGAAAGATTGGATATTTTGGCAGTAAAGACATTTTCTGTTACTGATGTGTTTTGCATATTTGTGACTTAAATATGTTAATATTCCCTTATCATGCTGAAGATTTCATACATTACAGTCATTATTACTTGTATGTAGTGGTCATTGATGGCATGGTGTTGTAAGATAGTTTTGCATTGGCTACACCCACATACACTAAACGCAAGGCACAGCATTATGAGCTCATGATTGTCGTAGAGTGAGCATCAATGCCAACACATTTTCTTGGAATACAAAATAGCAATTTTACAGTGGTCCATCCATTGAAAGTGGACTATGACATCCCTTACAAAACCCCCCAAGATGCATCATCACAAAGCGTAAAACAAAGCTGTCTTTCTTATTTCATGAGAAAGTGTAGCTTGTGAAATATATTATATTCATTGTGTTTTAGGTTTCTGGTCAGGTTTCTGAGCAGGCTGCACTGGGAGCGTGTGCAGTCATGACCTCAGAGTTTCTAGAATCCTGGTGACTGCCCTGCTTGTCGTTGTGTTATAATCTTACAAATGGTGAAATGTGCATTTTCCTGAATATTTGTTGTCTGTGCAGGGACACTGCAGGCCAGGAAAGATACCAGACCATCACTAAGCAGTACTACAGACGAGCACAGGTAGCTGACCTTAAGTCACCTCCACTGATTCTACTGTGACGTGTGTGATTTGCCTCATATTAATGTAATATTATTACCGCTGAAACTAATTTAAATCTAATTTCTTCCTGAAATTAGATTTGTTGCAGCTGCAAGAATAACTCATGCCTGATCCTCGGCACTACTTCAGTTACTTTTAAAGGGATCGTGCTTACATGTAGCATTTTAGAACAACACTGCATGAAGGTTTGATCTCACACCGGTGGTATTGTAAATGTATTGTTTCTTCCTTTTAAAAACAAGAGGATGTTGTGATTTTCCCTCCACAGCCACACACCACCACCACCACCACCACCACCACCCTGACATTGTTATCTATGAATTTTGCCTTTGCTTTGGGCACATAAATGGGTTAAAATGGCTAAAAGTGAATTGTCTATTTACCAGAAACTGGTAATGAAATTAGAGGACAAGTGTCTTGTTCCAGTTATGTGCTATAAAACAGTTCAGTGGATTTCCCATCCAGCCTGTGGCTTACAATGTAAAATACACTGCTGGTAGAGGCAGCCAATTTTCCAAGTGGTAGTCTGGTTTGCTTGCAGGAATCATATTAATGTTTCCAATTTTATCTACTTAAAAAAAAAAAAGTTCCTATCAAGGTTCAAGAACATTTTTTAAACATGACTCTCTATGGTGCTTTAAAGTATGCTCGTTGTTTTCAAATCTCTCTTTAGGGAATCTTCCTGGTGTATGATATCACGAGTGAGCGATCTTTCCAGCACATCATGAAATGGGCCAGTGATGTGGATGAGGTGAGTCACTGAGACTGTGGATTTAAGATAAATCAGACACATTGGAAATCAACAAACATTTTTTCCAGATTGTAGAAAGGACCAAACTAATAAATCAGCTGCCTTTGCAGAGGCCTCGGGTTGGACAAAGAACAGATGCCTGACATGGTGTGATGCTCTGTTTATTATGTTTCATCGTCATTTCAAATATATGTCATCATATTTTAAAATGTGGAGTCAGAAATATCGGAAAGATATTTTTCCTCTTGCACTTACTTTTTCTGTTGGCTTTGAGTCTTCATAAAGCTCCCTTGTCTGCCTCACTTCCCCCTGTCATTTCCCAGATGATTCTATTCTTTTAATTTAGTCATTATGGGCCTAATTTCCTCTATGGGTCTGTCCGAATATATTCTCTATTGATCTTGGCATGCTCCCCACTTACTTTTAATCTAGGTCTCATTTCCTGAACACTGTCTCTCCTGTGTTTTCTCCCCTCTGTCGTCTCTTGACATTCGAAATCGCTCTCTCCCTTATCTCATTAATTTTGTTTTCTATTCCTCTTCCTTATCTGTAAATATCCCTTCATATCCACATGACAACCCCTGCAGTACGCTCCTGACAAGGTCCAGAAGATTCTCGTGGGGAATAAGTCGGATGAGGTGGACAAGAGGCAGGTGGCCACGGAGCAAGGAATCAAGGTGGGTCAGTGGCCGGCATTATTCTCTAACTACATCGCAAAGGATTATTAGACGGGAATAACTACACATACAGTATCCAACAGCAGTGAGTACACGTCTGTGCAATATTATTTAAATGTCAAATGATTCATAAATTGTACCACCTCCTAATAATTGCATTATTTCTAAGTTGAGCAGCGGAGTATTTCCTCTTATGAATAAAACAAACACTTTGAAAGGACGACACTGAAAAAATACAGAGCGACAAAAGTGAATATAGCTGTGATCAGTGAAACTAAATTGACCATATCTCTAATTAGTCTAACAGCATAACCATGGTTGTTAAATGAGCTGTAAACACCAGAACATTCTCGGTTTTAGATGTATTTGCTGTGTCTATCTGCATGTCAGCATCATGGAAAATGGAATTGCCAGAGGAACTGAAAAATCAGATTGTGAGTCTTCACAACGGTGATAAAATATACAGAAAGATTAGTGCAAAAGGTGTTGGGAAGATTTGTAGACGGCACTGTGAGTGCATGTAGACATACCAAAATACTGACTGACAAGATTGCAATTCCATTTCCATACGGTTTGGGGAAAACGCATTTTACCCTTTTGACCTTTTCATTGGAGTTCTGGGCCCTGTGGATTCTGTGGATCTCAATCCAACATGAGTTTCTAGTCCTAAAATGAGCTCTAAGGTCCCTGATGCACCAATTTGATCTGTGAGGACAAGACTAACTACTGCTTCACCTCCTGTTGCCTGACATTTCCCATTAAAAGCTGCACTTGAACATGTAATTCCATCTGAAAGCCAGCAGACACTCATAAACCCATATTCTACACCTGCGTGAGAGGAAATAAGTAGTCAGTAAGCTGTGCTCCGAATTCAAAACAAAAAGCCTTTCTTGTGTTGTTGAAATCCTGTTGTTGTCACTGTTGTCTGTCCTCCAGCTTGCCAAGGCTTATGGAATGGACTTCTTTGAGACAAGTGCCTTCACCAACCACAATATAACAGAGGTGAGGTCTGAAGACTTGCTGTTCAGAAGGAACTCATGACATTCTATGACCATGTTTAGAAAAGTAGCAAGATCAAATCAACGCATGCCATAATTACAATATGCATTCAACAGAAATGACTCGATCTCTCATCTTGTTCTTCTCCTGTGGCTGTGTTTCCTTCCAAGACTTTTACACGACTGGCTGAACAGGTGCTGGCAGCCAATAAAAAGGACCTGGATCTGCTCCGGATGTCCATTAATGATGAGCTTAATCTTGCTGCTCTGGAGGAGGAGGAGGGACTCTGTGACGGTGCGGCTGGTGACCAGCGCAAAGGCTGCTGGTGTTAAAGAAACTACATGAATTTTAATGAAACATATGTCACCGCCACACACTTTGCACACTCTTGGAAAAATGTGTCTCATTTTGTTTTAGCCTGAAATAAAGAGGCACAACTAGCTACAGTTTTGAACACAGCTCTGTCCCTCGGTTTTATGGAGCAATGCCAGAAATGCTAAAAAATAAAAATAGAAAAAAATCAGTTTGACAGCAGTTTCAAGGATAAAAGGAGAAACATTTTGCCACAAAATGCCAAGTGTGTGGTGATTTAACCAACTGAAGATTTTCCCTCATTGGAACAGAATGTTTGTAGTCTAATTTATGAATTCCTGCTCAATTCAGTGTGTCTTTGATGTGACAAAATGCAATTCATGTCCACTACAAATTTTACAGTGAACAGGAAACTTCCAGGAGAACTAGAAATGAGAATTTGATCATCTTTTCTTTACAGACTTTTATCAGTAGTCTTAATGTAGAGCATAAGGAATGACTTGGAATTGCCCAAAAATGACTTGAAACTGTTGTATATCACATTATTTTCTAACTTCTGTGTCTGATATCAGTCTTTTCAAATCAGCGACATGTCTGGTTACATATGGCCTTCATCTACCCCTTTAGTATACTCTTTATTTGCGCATTGACACTCATGGCCTTTCTACTGTTGAATGCTTTAGCTGAAACGTAAGCGTTTACCACAAGAGGGCGCTACATGCATTTCAAATACAGCACACACCCTGGACACATGCTCAGTGCTGTGGTCATACCCTATTTTTTTCTTTTCCTTCTTGTTTGTTTTTGGTTGTAATTGCACTTGCAATAGCTACCTTTAACGGAATGAAAGAATTCTAAATATATGCAGCCATTTTATGATTTTTGTTTTGTTTTGTTTTCATGCAAATGTTGACTGCATGGGGCATTTTTCAGCTTGTGATGTCATTCATCTGAACGCTCAGATAGACCTGCCCAAGGTGTAACATGAGTAGAACATTGAGAGCAAAATTATTCAGTTTCTCTGTAGCAAAACAGAACATATTTTTTTATTTTATTGTGTTTGTTTATAGTAGAAAATATCATATAGTTCAGATGGTTTGATAACTGCCCATTGTAATGTACATACCAGGTTTCTGAAAGCATTGTAGACTGATAGAATCATAAGCATACATACACCATGAATTTGACTGTATTACCATTAGAGGGCTGTATAAAAAGTCCACATGGATATTCTAGATGGTTTGAAGTATTCCCTTTGTGAAGATAACAACGTTTTGGTCATTCTGTCCTTTTCTCACTGTTTTGTACAGAGTCCAGTGGAGATGCCATTTCTTTTTGCCACAGATTTGGGGCGAGTGAGCGTTTTGCATGCGATTCATTTTTTCTTTCCTTTGTTTTATTGCAACTTCAGTGAAGTTAATTATCACCTGACCGTAATACAAGTCTAGCATTTGACCAGAGTTGCCTGTTTCACAGAGAGTTACTCAGATTGACCATCATAGGAAGAACTTTGGCTACTTTTTTGCAACTTAGTATTACTAAATTCTACTCAAAGAAATTGTTAATGTGTGCAACATGTAAAATGGCAGTATGTTGTCCTGAATGGACTAAACTCTAGATACACAATGTATCTGTGTTGTTTTCAGGAACTTTTCTTTATTTTATTTTCTTTTATTTTTTTAGGGTCCTTTAATCGTATTTGTGGAAATATATTACAAGCAACATGTAAAATGCAACATGTTATTCTTGGAGAAAAGATGTCAGTTGTTTATGAGTAAATACTTGCAGATATAAGACTCTGTGCCAAAGTGTCTTCTTGGGAATGTTGAGAAGCATTACTTGATATAAGACACAGTACATGCTGTAACACTATATCATTGTAATGGATATTGAATATCTATTATTACCAGAAAAACAGGAAAACATGATCTCAATTACAATTCAAAGACATAACACTCTAAACAGTGGACAGTGGATCCACTCACTGAACTTCCTAAAGCTGTGTGTTTGACCTTCAGTGTTGATATTATGACTACAGCTGCAGAGGAAAGTACAGACAGGCAATCACATGTTTTTATCATCTATCAGCTTCTGAAGGTTGCAGGTGATAATATTTAAGAGTCCATATGTGTTCGCAAGGATCTAAATAAGAAAGTCATGATGACCACATTTTTGAGTTCTGGCATTGGTTTGTAAGTACTGGTTTATGTCTTAAATATGTGAGCTAATTATCATGACTGATGTATTGTACTTTAATACACCAGTACATGAAAACAGGTAGACAAGAGCACATGCATAATTGTCCTGCATAAACTAACTGACACCATATTTTGAGGGTAATCATGTATTATATGTAGTGGTGGTAGAATAACAATGGAAAATCTTCCATAAAAATAAAGGTAGATCATATGGTCAAAATCAATATTGCAATATAAATAAGAACATTATGAAAACAGGATATGAATTTACAGGAGTAGGCAATACATGAAAACATCTCATTTTCACATTGTAATGTAATACATTTTCTGAAAATAAATAAAGACACTTTTAATAACCAGATGAATAAAAAGGACAATATAACATACATAGACTTTTGCTGATTTCCCATAATGACCTAAAGCAAACTCAGAAAGCAATAGCTGCCTCAGTATAAACAATAATATAAGCAAACAATTGTAACTCAAGGTCTTGTTACTCGCTCTTTTTGAGCTGTTGAACACATCTTGTCTAAAACTTCCTCGGCAGATGAAGGCTGCTCTGCTGGAAGAAGAAATTTTCCATTTTAAGAGGAAGAAACCTTCGGAAGAACGACACTCAGGAAGGGAAGCCATCCGCCTCTAATGGGTGGGGTAAGCGTAAAAGGGAACGAGAACCGGATAGAAAAGTGACAAACAGTGCAAATGAGATCAATAAAAACTTGGGAGGTTGGTGAAGTCAGTAACTGCAGATCAGGAAAGTGCAACTCTGTAGTCAGGGATACCTGCAGAGAGAATAAAACACAAACTACAAGGGAGAGAAGACACAAACTTAGTGACATGCAATGGGGTTGTATAACTGTATGTAGAGACAAAGAGGAGACTCAGGGAGAAGTGCTCAGTGCATCATGGGAAGTCCTCCAGCTGTGTAAACCTATAGCAGCATAAATAATGTTCTGGATGATCTGAGCAGCCCTAACTATGAATTTTAAGCCTAACCTTAAATGGAGAAAGAGTGTCTGCCTCCTGAGCCCAAACTGGAAGCTGATTCCACAACAGAAGAGCTGATAACTGAAGACTCTGCCTCCCCACACAAATAAGCCTGCAGTCTGAGAACTAAGTGCTCAGTTGAAATAATATTATACAGTGAGGTAAGATACTTTGGAGCTTGTACATGAAGAGCTTTGTATATAAGGAGAAGGATTTTAAATTCTATCCTGGATTTTACAAGGAGCCATGAAGAGAAGCTGATTCGGGTGAACTATGATCTCTCTTACCGGTTCCTCTGCTGCAGCATTTTGTATTAGCTGGAAACTTTTCAGAGTGATTGGGAGAACCTGATGATAGGGAACTACAATGATCCATAGAAGCAACAAACACATGAACTAGTTTTTCACCATCACTCTGAGACAGGAGGTTATTAATTCTAACAGTAGTTTACAGATGAAAGAAGACCATCCTAGAAATGGGTTTTGTGTGTGTGTGAAAGGACATATCCTGGTGAAAACAACTTCAAGGTTTCTCACAGTAGCACTGAAGGCCGAGGCAATGGCATCCAGATGAACTATTCCACCTACTAAGACTGTGAGATACAATTAAAAGCTTCTATTTGCGTCAAAGTGCTATTTCCAAGGTCAATAATGATGTTTAGTGTAAACAAGGGTCTTGTCTCATAGCTTTCATCATCATATCACCCAATCTGTCAATAAATATCATGATACACTCTATGTATTGAGCATAATAATACATGTATCACTGCATGTCAAGCTCCTATTTTTTGCTCTGGACAGAATACCTGGACAGAAGCTGTTCTACCAACAAAACATGACTTCCCACAAACTTATATTTCACCTTCTAACTGAACCACTAGATTACAGATTCACCCCACGAGCTTGTTTTCTCCTCCACAGAGCCCGGGCTCAGTGCAGAGGCACTTAAATTGTGTCATGGTGGGAATTTCATTAGTTACACAGTGAATATTTACAACAGTCAATAAACAATACAATCAGTTACCACATATAAATGTAATTACCATTTGGTGGTTACTTTCATTACACATAACTTCAATACTTTAAATAGCCCACTGCCCACATTATTCCTTGACTCTTTTTAAAAAGCTGACAGTTTTAGTACCTTAAATTGCTCTACACATTTATTTAGCATACACAGGAAAAATGCAATAAATAAATGTGTCATTGCTAGTCAGTGAAAGGGTTTTTCTCTCAAAGAATTGCAGGGAAAATAGCTGCAAAGCTTTTGTTCATCACCTCATCTGAGCTGTTAATGCTGTGAACTCATTAAAGCTTTTTGAGTGAAATTACCATAATGATGAATATGCATGTGGAACTGTTGTCTGGTTGATAGAAGTGACAGCTCAGTATCTGTCACCAGGCTGAGTGACACACGCACACGTACAGAATAACAGGCCGACTCGCACGCTGCCACACAGCTCCCACGCACACACAGTACATACACATACTGTATGTATGTGCACAGGGAGGGACTTTATGTGCACAGGGAGGGACTTCATTGTTGCTGTTGTAAGCAGAAAGCTATCATCATCATTTTCATCATCATCATCATCATTTTCTGCAACACAATCCCCTACCACATTACTTCAGGTCTTGCAGCTGTCTGACATTCGCCCATATGGTGTGCGTGTGAGTCAGCGTATGCCAGTGTAAATGAGTGAATGTTTGGGAGTTGCTGTGATATAACTGTATCCATGTGTGGGGAAGTGGGAAGGAAGGAGAGAGACAGACAAACTCCCTGAGGTGGGCAGGCAGAGTTCATTCATGTTCACACAACAGATTGACCTGAATTCT